TGCCCCCCGTAAGAAGGCCCTGTGGGATCTATTCTCTGCTCCTGAGAGGATTGAACGTGATCTCGAGCTTGCTGAGCGCCTGGTACGGAAGCTTGATAACGACCTGAAAGCGAGCCACGAAGAAGAATTTGGTGATGTTGACGGTGTTAGCAAGATTGAACAACGCGTCGAGGACCTTCGCTCCAAGGGCTGGCTGCAGCCTCCTGCAAATGCCCCAGCTCCGATCAAGAAGGAACGCGAGCACGAAGACCTCGAGGAGGGAGAGGATCAGACTATGGAGGAGGAGGATGGTGCCTATGATGATGAAGTCGACGACGAGGAGCTTCTGGCTAAGAAGAAGAAGCTCGACTTGCTCATTGAGTACCTTCGGAGGGTCTACAACTTCTGTTTCTTCTGTGTTTTCGAGAGTGACTCAGTCCACGAGCTTATTCGCAAGTGTGCTGGAGGTCATCTTCGTCGCCCCCGTGCCAGCTTGACCACGGCTGCAAAGGCTACCGCTAGAGCCACTGCTTTGGGTGAACCGTTCCCATATAGAAAGCAAGAATCTTCTGGCGACGGGGAGAATGACGAGGGAAGCCCTGTGCAAGAGAGGAAACCCCTTGTCAAGCTGAGTACTAAAAACCAACAGCAATTGCAGAGAGCCTTCAACTGGGTCAAGACATATGAGGAGAAGCTACTGCAACTATTAGAACCGGAAAATGTTGACATCAGAAAGCTAGGCGGGAAGCCTCTGGAGGAAGCTATCGAGGACGAGATGTCGAAATACGTGAAGCAGGAAGATGAGTCGAAATGGCGTTGCAAGGTTCCAGAGTGTACCAAGCTGTTCAAGGGGCAACATTTCTGGCGTAAGCACGTCGAAAAACGTCACCCAGAGTGGCTTGAGAAGTTGGAGAAGGACGTAAGTTGATGGTGGAGGGCAGTGATGATGGCATAAACTAACAAACTCCAGCTTCGACTTGTCAACAGCTATGTTGTCGATCCGGCACACATTGCTCCCTCTCGCAGCGACGCAAATAGCAATGGGCACTTCCCCATGGGCAACCACGTCCAAGCCACTGGCACTCCACGAGGCTTCAATCTAGCCAACATGGGCATGGGCCCCAATAGCGGAATGCAAAACGGCATGAGTCTCGGTGCTCTCTTCAACCCCGCCATGGGTGGCAATTGGGATCCGAATGCTGTGCACGACGATCGTTCCGGCCCGATGCGACGTGGTGGACATCGGTTCAATAGCCGCGCAGGACCGTACGACAGGCAGCCTCGTGATGGACGCCCTCGTCCTGCCGGCATCAATGGACGGCTGACACCTCCCCGTGGCGGCAACAGGCAGGGTCCTCAGCGGTACGGTGAAGGCGGTCCTGGCCCCGTGCAATCCGTGCAAGGTCGATCGATCAAGAGCTATGAAGACCTCGATGCAGTGGGTGCAGGTGGCAGTGGTGAACTCAACTATTAAGCATGCTGGTCATTGATCGAAACGTCACTGGGTTCCCAGGGCGGCATCCCGAAAAACCCCCAAAAACGAGTTGTGTAGGCTGCAGGGCGTCCGAGGCGTCGGTAGGCAAGTGGGCTTTTTTTCTCGCCAAACTGTCCCATGTAAGACTGTATGATTTTTTGCATCTTTCAGTCCTTTGGTCACGGTTCACAGGCGACATGGGCGTTGTTGTTTTTCTGTTCATTTACAAGATGTATTCTCTCCCCTCCGGGGTTGTCATACATATACACATGTAGCCTGTGCTGTCAACTGCGTCTGGGTCTCCCATGTATATTGTAGCTAAGTCTGAATACACAGAATGCGAGTATACTTTGCCGTGTTGGGAGAGCGGTGATGTGGTGAGAGTAGTGATTGGAGATGGATGTGTAGTGGGAGGGGCGTGTGGGGGGGTCTGGGGGGAGGAGGGGGAATGGAGCGGATGGACATGGAGTATCGTACATAGGGAGCTCCTGAGGGACCTTTGGCAGAGAAGATAAGTCACCATTCCTTTACACCCAGCATCGGACACAAGTTGCCTTGGAAGTGACAAACACCTCTACCACGTCAGTTTACGCTAGGCTTGGCCGCACCCGGCACGGTAGCAGTCTCCTTGAACCCTTCACACGAACCCGGGACAGGGGAAACCGCCAGTGGTCGTGACGGCAACCACGTCCATAGGTGTAGCAGGTGCCATGGTAAACACACAGCATATAATCGCGCAATCTCTGACTTCCCTTCGTCTTCTCTTCTCTTCTCCTACACACAACTTGCAAAGTCACGACATTCAGTCCGTTTCATGTCCCTGGCGTCGCAGCTCTGCAACATCTATCTCACAATGCACATTTCTGATATTCCATCGTTCTCTCCCATCTCGCCGCTTTCCCGTACACACTTTTCTTCGCCTTCGATGCTCGAAAGCTGGATGCGGTTGGACGATTCGATCACGTCTTGATATGCTGTGGCTATGATGAATATTCTAAGAGCATTCACTACCTCCACGGCGGTTCGTCGAACGGCTCGGTAAGCTTTCATTTTTCCCCCTTCTGATGCCAGAGGTCTATCTTGCGGTTTCTTTTCATGGCTGACTTGGATTCATTGATACAGTCAGATCAGGGTACGCCCCCTCAGGGCGCCGCGACCAATTAAGGAAAGGGCTATCTATCGCTGTGGTGAAAGACCAGGCGTCTGGCCCCGAATTGTGCCCTCGGGCGTTGCGTTCTTGCGGCGGCAGGCCCGCATACGCTAGGAGGAACAACTTCACGCTGGCTTCGTCTGGGTGGCCGTGGGCGTCGGTGGGCTGGTCCGGGATCCAGTTGGAGAATGGTTTGGCAATCGTATGTTCACCCATCTACTTTCCGCAGACTTACTGACTGTTGTGACAGTCGCCAAAAAATTCGAAGATTGGATTTCAGAAGAAACCATAGATTTGCTATGTTTTTTGTGTGGCGGATGACCGACCAGGGGTGGGGAGATGATCGATAAAGTGTCGGAGGGAAACGGCGATGCTCATGTTGGGCAAGCATCGCCAGTCTGGCGTTGATAGCGGTGGAGGGTTTATTGTATCCTGATCATCTAACGCGTGACGCAGTATATAGTCATTTCTTTCTCTGCAGAATAGCTTCAATCAATACTTCTTCCACAATCACACTTCTCAGATCTATATAAAGTAGAACTAAAATAAAGCGTTTGAATGAAGACAGAAAACCCTGTGGGACATGTACATGTGAGATACCGTATAAACTGGCGAGCAAGAGTCACACCAAGGATCGGTACTTGCCAAGACAGATCTCGTAGGTGGTTGCATTGTTATGGTGATGATAGCTAGTTCTTGTATTGCCACTACCTCTGCGCAAGTTTGGTGCAACAGACAAGTTGTGCGTACACAATCCGCAACCCTGCGCTCTCTGCTTGTTCATGGGTATGTTAGATGCGGTTCATAATGTGCATGTACAAACCACATGCTGAAGATACGTGTCATGGTGCTACCCTTTTTGAGTTACGCATTGATCTCAAGTATACAAATGCAACGTGGCCGCTAAGCATAGTGATGTAATGTATCCTCACTTTGCTAGAAAAAAAAAACTCGCCAGTTCTACACACGTGTCTGGCTGTACTAAGCAATCATACATACATACCTACACGGACTTTTTGGATTTGGTTTTGTGTGTGCGTCGGTCTTGTTTTCTTGTGCTGGATAGGGAGGGTCGGATGGGATTATGGACAAGCATTTCTGAGCTGTTTTTTTTTGGCTGTTGGCTAGAATGCTTCATCCATGACAAGGTGGTTATTGAGAGATATTAATATATCGCGATATCAAGGGAAGTGGAGACTCGCAAGGTGGTAATGAGGAGGCGGATTTCCTTACAACTTCGACATGTTGTAGTGGTAAACAAGAAGAGCAAGCTGCAAGGATTGTACAAGTACTGCGTGTATATTGCTAATCTTGTTGCTATACTATATATATCAAGCATCGTGACTGAGATGATACCAAGTGGCCGACAACAGTCGTGCTAGCAGTGGTAAAGCGAATTGGGTAAGCAATTGTAATTGGTAGAGGCAATAAATAACCTGGGTTTTGCTCACTCAAAGGAGTAAGGCGCCCAGTCATGCTCCTTGCTATGCTAGCACGACTGTTTTAGGCCAGTAGAGCGAATGAGGGGCAGCTCGCAAAGCACAACACCCACCCACCATGAATGTCCCCGTCGTAGTATATTATATGTTACATGGGTGGATGCGAGATACACGCACTCCATGCATAATGAGCATGGGATGCAATGGATGCGGAACTTATTGGCCAAGAGAGGCAAGATGCTGTGCTTTTCATAGCCTCGCCCCAGGAAAGCGTACACAGTACGGTGGTAGACAACGTGGGGCTTGCTGAGGACTGCGCCATTGGCCCATGACGCAACATTACGTGCCGCCACACTTCTTACGCGCCTTCTCTTGCCGAGTGCTGACCAGTATCGCATCCGGCCAGTTTGGGGTCAAGAAGCGGCGGTGCATTGTACGACTGGCAGCCCGTAGAGTAAGACTACCAGATCACACGCCCACCAGTCAGCAGTGATCGTCGTCGTGCCTGCATACCCCAGATCGTCCTCAGACTTGAGCCTCAGCAACAGCCACGGCTAGGTAACGGGACGTGCTTCGGCGTCATCCAACACGCGTCCTTGGTTTGACCGTGTTACTTTGTTCCTGGGCAGAGCAGGCTGTCAGACAAAATACCTGGAGCGGCGGCCCATCGTTTGACTCTTGTCAAATCGCTCTTCAATCTCTTGGGTCGCGCGCCGTTCTAGAGTAGCTTGGGCTTGGACTCCATCACACACACCCACCTGCATCATGTCCGCCAACGCCAACACCCCGCCCGCCATCACCCTCAACGGTGTCACTGAGCCGACCACGATGGACGTCCAGCCTTCGGTGAAGAATTTTGGCGAGCCGCTACAGCGGCCCACCATCTCGCGCAATGACACAACCTTCTCCAAGACGTCGGTGCCGCCAGAAGGGTCCGTCTTGACTGGCAAGCAGGAACATTGTGAGTGGGATAGCCAAGCGTGGGCGCCCAAACCCTCATGCTAATGCTTTGGACAGACCTCAAGCGCGAACTCATTTCTGAGCAGACAAAATATGAAATCTCTGAGCTCTCCTCACCAACTGCTCTCAGGCGCTTTGGCGCACCCTTTCGCTCCGACGCAGGCGAAGTCGCGCCCGAAGACTCTGAACTCCCCCTCTTGCGCTACATCTTTGTACACCATGTGCGCAACTTTCCATTTCTAGACAAGGCCAAGGAGAAGGAATTCTGGCAGGACAAGCTTCAAGTTGTATGTTTGGCCAAAATCTGCCTGGAGAGGGGCGTCGTGCTGACACAGGTCCTACCGTAGTTCCTCGAATCTTTTGCCAGCAAGGACATCTCCTCATCAGAAGATCGGCTAGAGGAAACAAAACGGAGGAAGCTGGCGCTCAAGGCTCACAAGCTGGTGGAGCTCATGATGGTCTCGGGTATCCCGACGGCGTCTGGATATGAGGAGCGGATACGCTTTGCGGAAATGGAGATTGTTGATCGACAGGCAAATGAGACTGGTTTGACCATGAACGAGCCGAGTGGGCACTTCATAAACGGCTGGGATGTCAACGTTGCGGGCGTTAGGACTACATCCGTCAAGAAGCATCTGCGCTATCACACACACGCAGTAGGTGAACATGGCACTATGATGATGAGTATGGCTGACAGAGATATAGGAGTATCTCATACGGGTCAAACAAGGTGGAGGTAAGGACTTCTACATTGGTCGCCGATACGCCGACTTTGTCCAATTGCACAAGCGAATTCGCCTTGAGCTCCCAGGCAAAGTTCTCACCCCACTGCCTCGCAAGAACAAGAAGGATGGTCTCCTACAAACAAGCGTGGATGATGACGACGTGAGCTCCATCTCGTCCGAGTCAACCCAGGGACCGCCCCCAGAACCGCAAGAGAGCAGTGGCGGAGGTGGCCTCCGAAGCTACATTTTTGGTGGTGGTCACAAGCGCAATGCTTCGCAGACTTCTCTGGGCAGAAAATCTCCAAGAGCTTCTGGGGAGTATTCAGCCTACAAAGCGTCCCGAAGGTTGTACCGCGAAGAACAGCGAGTTTCCCTCCGAGCCTTCCTTCGCTCGTTCCTCAACAATGAGCGCATCGCATCCTCGCATGCTATGACCGAGTTCTTGACGCATGACCACATTGAATTGAACGAGGAGGAGATGGAAGATATTCACCGGAGAGAAGAAATGGACAAGAAGCGCATAGAAGAGCAGAGGCAATTCTACGAGGTGGCGCGGCAAAGAGCAGCAGAACTCGATATCCACATGGAGAAGTTCAGGAGAGAAATTGTCGAGAGTAACGGCCTGACGAATCTGTTTCAAGAAATCAGGATCAAGAACAGCATTGCGGAGCTCAAGCCAGAATACCAGAAGTTTGCCGAATGGCTCCGAATCGAGGTGGCAGCTACCATCTACCATCTGTTCTTGGCAGAAGACAATTCTCCTGAATTGTTTGCACAAGCAAAACGGATACATTCACTTGTTCCCTATGGTGTGCTCAAGAACGTCATTCGAATCGCAAACCCTGCAGCAGTGATGAGCGGCGTACTCGACCTTTTCTTAGCCCAGCCTTTCGGTGCTCGATCATTACTGCAGCGAATCTTCGGCATGGCCATTAACGATGGTATCAACTCAGTGCAGAAGACGATAGACACGCTTGGATCGACCAGGATAAAGGACGATGTGCTTTGTGCCAAGATCCAAGCTTACGTTAAAGCAGACGAAAACGTCAAGCAGTTGATTCGCGAAGAAGCTCAGAGTGATAATGTCGACGTTGTCGTTACCATATTAAGATCTGAATACTTCGAGCCGGAGTTGAGCTCCCAACAAGTAGAGAAGGTGTTCAATGCTTATGTTGCGTGGACCAACGCGGTCGAAAATGTGAGCTCTCGTCGGTTGAGTAGAACGACGAGTCGCCGCAGCAACATCAGCTTGAATACTAACAATGCAGCTCAGGTCGAGAAAGAAATGCGCTCGGGCGCCGAGCTTTTCGCTCACCTGAAGCAGTATCTGAAGCTTTGTTTGCGACAGCGGGATAAGCTTATGATGCTTCAGATTATCGAAGAGGTAGGTATTTACAAGTAAGGAACATGTAGATCGAATGCTAACGTCCTGTTATAGCCTACGACACTACAGCTGTTCAGAGACTTGTTTACCATCTTCTACGAGCCACTCGTCCGCGTCTACAAGTCTGCGAACGTGTACAACAGTATCACCGACTTTGCTCTGTTCGTGGACGACACCATCAGAACCATTGAGGCATGTCAGCGACAAGAAGTCTCGGCGGATCCCAATCAAACCGTGCAAGCCTTTATTGATTTGTGCGCACGACACGAGGACAATTTTTACAAGTTTGTCCACGAAGTACATAAGCACGATAATGGCCTATTCGACCAGCTGATGGGCTGGCTAGAGGGCATTCTCGACTTCTTGCGTCATGGGCCTGGTGGTGGCGGCAAGCTTGACATGAATGCGCTATTCCAGGGTGGACTGGAATCAGGCATCATCGATAAGGACAAGGCGATTCGTGAGATCAATAGTTTGATCAAGTGGCAGATGGCGAGGAAGAAGTGGCACAGCGACAAGACGAGGCAAAAAATGGCAAGTGGCGGCAACGAGCCAGACACGCTGATGGGTGGCATCGCCGGCTTCAAATCGAGTGATTTTGGGCTCAACGCGGTAGGTGTTTTCCTCTATTCCAACTGCACTCTCGGAGCACTAACCCATCCTCAGATGGACCTCCAGGACTTGGAGCTTGACGACGATGTCAGCGACTCTGATGCATCGGAAGATGGAGACGATGCAGATATTGCCGACCCCATCGAAGCAGAGCGCAAGAACAGGGCTCGCGCAGCAGAGAAGCTGAGGAGAAAAGCGGGAGAGCCGAAGAAGCCGCCGATTGTGGAGTTGTACAAGCTGAATGAAGGCTTCAATAGCATGTTGAGGAACGTGCTCGCTCAGTAGGGCTGTCGTCGCGAGTGGAGTTGTATGGAGCAAAGTATAGACGCAGCGGGCACTTGAAAATAGCAGACGTCGCATAACACTTATTCCTAATACCTATAACCTATGTTCATCCTTGTCTCGATATCGCAATGTGTCAATACCCAGCTTGATGCCAACGTCGATGTCGCGATACATGGATATCTATGGCGATATATTGATATCTCGCGGTATTGAGGTAGGTAGTGAGGTGGGTATCGAGCGTGGTGTTGATATATCAACATTAACCTAGTACTAGTGCAAAATGGTTTGTAATGGGCGCGCCACGATGTGGTTTGATAGTACATATATAGTAGCGTTATTACTAATATTACTCAGATTATGTAGGCTCAGAACCGGTTGGTATGACTTCCGATACCCGTAAGTATCTATAAATCAAAGATTAAGGTCTGTAGTATTATTGCAAAACGACCAAGTTCTACCTTTGAGCAGAGCGTCTGATTTACAAAATAGCTCTGCAAGGCTGTTTTCCTGAATCCATGGCCTCACACGTGCAAACACGCACGCCTTCCCAATTGGGACTAGACGGACAGGGAATCGCCTCGTCCCAGCCGTACCTCGAGCTATGTATCGGTATCGTGTCCTTTAGTTCAGCCGAGATGTAGCAGCCCGCGCCGTGACTATTTGTGTTCTATATTTCACTCTTCTTTTCTGTACAATGATACTTCGGCTCTTGCACTGAAGACGTGCTGCATTACTTATTCCCTTTTGCGCTATCTTCTCGCCAGCACAGTCAAAGCAATTGCAACGCGCAATCGGTCTGCCCTCTACCTGTTGTTCACGAATCCCAAAGCCCTCTCTTCTGGAGCTCACACTCCACGCTCCGAAACGGCCACCGAGACACGTTTCTGATCTAGCCTTCACCACCGTGGTCTCACTCTCGTTGGTTTCTCTGACTGCAAACACTCGGTGTTCTCTCCTCGCCGCCTTTCCCATCACGCGTCAAAGAAACTTGACGTCTTCTACCCTGCAGCGGTAGCCTCCCCCCGCCAACATGCCGGCCAAGTCCCGCTTTACACGGCTCGATGCCTTTACCAAGACGGTGGAAGATGCGCGCGTGCGCACAACATCTGGTGGTATCGTGACGCTGGTGAGCTTGGTGGTCATCTTCTGGTTAACATGGGGAGAGTGGGCGGATTACAGGAGAGTGACGGTTCGCCCGGAGTTGATTGTGGATAAAGGCAGGGGCGAGCGCATGGAGATCAGTCTGAACATTACGTTCCCACGGATGCCGTGCGAGCTGCTGACGCTCGATGTCATGGATGTGTCTGGGGAATTGCAGATGGGCATTACACATGGTATCAATAAGGTGCGACTGAGCCCGGAGGTTGATGGCAGCAAGGTGATTGACGCTAAGCCGCTGGACTTGTGAGTATCTTTTTTTGTGAATTCCTTGATTGTGCGATAGTGATGGGGCGAATGATAGGAGCTGACGTCTTCAAAAGGCACCAAGACGAGGCCTCTCACCTTGATCCCTCATACTGTGGTAACTGCTATGGCGCTCCTCCGCCAACGAACGCCATAAAGCACGGTTGCTGTAACACGTGCGACGAAGTCCGGGATGCATACGCCTCTATATCATGGTCCTTTGGCCGTGGTGAGGGTGTGGAGCAATGTGAGCGCGAACATTATGCCGAGCACCTTGACGAACAACGCCAGGAAGGTTGCCGTCTCGAAGGCAGTATCAAGGTGAACAAGGTTGTGGGAAACTTCCACATTGCGCCTGGAAAGTCGTTTTCGAACGGCAACCTGCACGTGCACGATCTTGAGAATTACTTCAGGGACGAGTACGCACACACCTTTACCCACAAGATTCATCACCTGCGATTCGGTCCTCAGCTCAGTCAGGCTGTGGTCCAGGACATGGCCAAGAAACACATGGCCACCGGTCCGGGCGGATGGACAAACCACCACGTCAACCCGCTCGACCACACGGAACAGCGCACCGACGAGAAGGCGTTCAACTACATGTACTTTATCAAAGTCGTGTCCACTGCCTATCTGCCCCTCGGCTGGGAAAAGAGTGCCGATGGCTCCAGTTCCGGCGGGTACGACGACCTTCTCGGCACCACCATTCACTCCGTAAACAAGGGCAGCATCGAGACACACCAGTACTCCGTCACTAGTCACAAGAGGAGCCTCCAGGGCGGTAGCGATGAGAAGGAAGGCCACAAGGAGAGAATCCACGCCAGGGGCGGCATTCCAGGTGTCTTCTTCTCCTATGTAAGTTTTCTTCACTCCTACACTCCATGTTGTCCTTTTGCGAGCGAGAGTTGAGATATTTTTGGCACATGCATACCCAACAAGGGGTTTTCTTCTTTTTGCTGACTAAGAGACTTAGGACATCTCGCCGATGAAGGTCATCAACCGCGAAATGCGCGAGAAGACGTTCTCTGGCTTTCTCGTTGGCCTTTGCGCGGTCATTGGCGGGACGCTGACAGTGGCTGCGGCGGTCGATCGGGCGCTGTATGAGGGTGTGAATAAGATCAAGAAGATTCACTCCAACTAGGTGGAGATTCATCACCCTCTTGGTCAATCCTTGGGCGAATTTGCCATTTCAAACCGCTCATCAAAGTTCGTAGTTGGAGCGTCTTGTTGATGATGCTCCTCTCCTCTTCCATCGATCCTGCTGCATATATGGGAGTTATTTTTCTCTTTTTTTTTGCCCATTTCTTTTTGATTTTGTAACTCGGAGTTCAAGACATGTTCAAGTTTTTTTATTTTGGGAGGGGGGGTAGAGCGTCCGAGGAAGAAACGTTAGACGTTAGGCTTGAGTGATGTTGAAGAGAAAAGCAAGGTCTATGTATAGGGACGGATTACTTGCTCTTGCTATCTGGACTTGAGATAGGTAGCTTGTTGTCGGCGAGAGGGGTATTGCGGTACTGTATTGTATAGATTAGGGTAGATGTATGTAAGGGCCTTTTTTTGGTTTGGGACGGCGACTGCATGCTTCGTATATCTATGTTTGGTTCTACTCGTTTACGGTAGACTTGCTGTTCTATGAGGATCGTGCATGAAGAAAGCCATGTTAGGTGCATACTAATGGCGATGAGCACGCAGTTCTTGGCAGAAGTGGAAGGAAGCATCCGTAGACAGTTTCCCGATACTCACGTGATCACGCAGCGCCAAGACTCCGCTTGCAGGGCTCAACTCCAAAAAAAATCTACCTGTCCCGTAAAGCAATTCCGCATCTACAATCGCACCATCCCCATACGCGCGCTTGCCTCTAGGTCGATCGCAAACTCCCGATACATACTTAGACATGTCTGCCGATAGTGCCGGTACGTTTGTTCCTTCCCCCTCTTTCCCTCTTGATGTTCCAACGCTTACAAGTAGCTCTGCAGCCTGGCCCATTGCCGATGAAGCTCTCGCGCAACAGCTCCTAGACCTTGTCCAACAAGCGACTCACTACCGCCAAATCCGCAAGGGCGCCAACGAAGGTGAGAGAGACTGAGCTTCCCCTCCTCCCAGAATGTCCAAGCTGTATGCGCGCAAAAAAACAAAGCCTTTCTAACGAGAAAATATGTGCAGCGACCAAGACGTTGAACCGCGGCATATCCGAGCTCATCATCCTCGCAAGCGACACGTCTCCTCTCGCGATCCTTCTCCACCTCCCGCTGCTATGCGAAGATAAAAACGTGCCGTTTATCTACGTCCCCAGCAAAATGGCGCTCGGACGCGCCTGTGGTGTCAGTCGCCCTGTCATTGCAGCTAGCATTACAACGAACGAGGCTAGTGATTTGGGCGGTCAGATCAGGAGCATAAAGAATGCCGTTGAGAGATTGGCTATGTGAAAGCCCCTCTTTTCAATCAAAAAAAAATCGAGCGGAAAACGAGCAGTCTGCGTGCTTTCACTGTTTAAAGGACATGGGCTCGTGTGGCAGAAGAAATGTGGCGGTTTTGTTTCAGCATGGGGGAGCCTGGGGTTTCAAGAGAAGGGGGCCGGGCAGAACGTATGTGTCTTTGTGCGTGTGCGTGTGTCGAATAGGTATCACCCCAGAGAGGCTCTATACCCACTACTTTTTTTCCGTGGTTTTTACTTTCCATTTTGTAGCAAGTGTTGTTGCATGTAAGCCCCGCCTACGCTACGGAAAAAAACAACCCCCACCCCCTCTTCATCGGGAAAAAAAGGATTAAACCACGTCGTTTGTTTGTCAAAAGGCGTCAGACTACCCTCGAGCATGCATTGTTGGCGGAGGGTTTCTCACAGCCAAGAGAGGGACTTCAAGTAAAAGAAAAAGTAGCAAATATACGAGGACGGGCAAGGGCGTATAGGGGGCTTTGGTTCATTGGGATGGCGTAGCTTTTACATGTTTTCAAATACAAATGATATTTTGTACATGCACGGTTGTTATTCTATGTCTGGGTGAGGTGAGAGGTTCATGTTTCGTGTATGGTGTTCTTGCGGTTATGTGTGAGATAGTTTTGAGATGGGCGAGGGGTTGGGCAATTGTTATGATACTATGCAGGTCAATTTTACCATTATCCTGTCCATAAGAGCACATTGTGTGGTTCTGCGGGTGAAGCTGATGCCATTGGCTATTTAGTATACACAGTGGTATTTCCGCATACCATGACATAATAGCGCTGAAGTATGCTGGCTCTGTGCAGAGACGTATACGCATTCACATGTCGCCGTGGTGCGATGTATTAATTTCTGATTCGGGGAATGCCGTATGATGCTTGAGTGCGTGGAATTGGGGCTAGTATGGTAGTTTATCTGTGGGTATGAAGGTGCTGTGCATTTTTTGTTTCTGTGTTGAAATGTATGTGACAGGTGGGATTGGGGTTGGTAAGTGGTGTTGTAAAAGTGGATGCGGTGCTGGATGGGAATGGGATGGGATGGAATGGGAAGCGTAGGTTGCTGCTGGGTCTGATGGGTACTCGTATATTTCTCTTACTGCGACATACAAACTTTATGTTGGGATTCCTTAGGGGCTAATGAAAGGTTTGGGGGACTTGAGGCTTGAAGTCTTAGAAGCATGAGTCTGGTTAAGTAGTGAGACTCAAGGGGGGGACTGCCACTGCGCACTCAGCGAATACCAGCGAATGACTTCTTATATGACTGCATCCTGGCTATTTAATTAAGCTGAATATGAGGCCTTTGAACTTGGAATTACGCCCATACTTGGTTGCTTCAATATTGGGTTCCCAGGGTGCTCAGTCTGCAGTCAAGTCAGGAGTTGCAGATCTCACTCACTCACGACAATGACAATGCATTGTTCCAAGAGTCGATACAGCTACGCTGATATCTCGTAGCTAGCAGCTTTAAACCATTCTGCAGTTACAGTGACGCCTTGTCTGTAACCTGGAATTACAGCATGTGAAGCTTGACACATGGTGCAGGGGTACGTCACCGATGTGGGGTACCGGTAACGGTAGGCATGGAGGAGGGGTAGGGGGGCACTTGGATGAGCGCACAAGCTGCTCCAGCCGCACTTCGGCCTCTGATCTCTTCACTTCAATCAACGCAGCTCATATCGATCTTCTCATAGTCTATCCATATCTTGTAAGCCAATCTCAGCATCCTCTGTACAAATCATACTTTTTAGTCGATGGCTGCGCGGGGCTTTGGATGGTGTTAGGGGGCACCAAGACCATCAGCTTTGCAGCAATTGCTACATCTCACATGATAGACTCTATTCTTCTGACATTCCCAAATAGGGAAAATTAAGTATCATCCTCACAATGTCTTATAACGACGATCGCCGCGAGTACGGAAACTCTGGAGGCTACGGCGGTGGCCGAGATGACGAGCGTCGTGGAGAAGGTGGGCAAGGCGGTTATGGTGCTGGTGAGCGACGTAACGACGGCTATGGCCAGGACGATCGCCAGGGAGCCGGTTACGGTGGCAGTAATCAAGAGCAGTACGCTGGGGGACGACAGGAACAATATGGTGGAGGCAGGACTCAAGAAGGTGGCTTTGGTGGGGGCGGAAACGACAGAAAAGAGGAGTATGGCGAGCAGCGTCACGGGGGTGGTGGAGGAGGGGGATACGGAGAGGAGAGACGCCAGGAGAGCGGTGGATATGGTAGCGGAAGTCAAGGTGGGTATGGAGGCTCACGTCAGGATGACCGCCCCAGTGGGGGTTATGGTGGTGGCGATGATCGACGTCAAGAATCTAGTGGGTATGGCGACCGTCCTTCTGGCGGATACGGGGGCTCACGTCAAGATGATCGCCCCAGCGGAGGATATGGAGGTGATGAGCGACGTCAGGAGTCCAGTGGCTATGGTGACCGTCCCTCTGGTGGACATGACAGCCACAACGACCGCCCGTCAGGCCACAGCAGCGGCGGCTCAGGAGGCTATGGCGGAGGTCAAGGCCAACATCAGGGCGGCCAGCCTTCTTCATACGGAGGGGGCAGCTATGCTGGCTACGGTGGCTCGGACGAGTTCTCCGATGCAGCCAAGCATGCTTCCTCATCAGCTGGCGATGCCGGCGACTCGAACCTGTTCAGCATGGCTCTCGGCATGCTTTCTGGGAAGAAGGATAAGCTGAAGGATGAGGATGTCGACGAAGACGATGCCGTCCGCCAGCACGAAAAGTTCTATGGCAACGGAAGCGGTCAAGAGGGTGGTCAGCAAGCCAGCTCGAATAACGTGGCCGCTGCTGCTGCCATGCAAGCATTGAAGATGTATCAGGGTGGTAGCAGCGAGGATGCCAAGGGTGGCCAAAACCAATTCATCGGTATGGCTATGGGGCAGGCTGCGCAACTGTTTGATAAGCAGCAGAAAGAGGGCAAGACTGTAGGTACAAATACTGCGTTGAAGACATGTATGTTAACAATATCAGGATCCTGGAGCCACAAAGCAAGATGCTATTGCACAAGCCGCTCAGATGGCGCTCAAGTTCTACCTCAAAGGCAATGCTAGTGGTGGAGGCAGTGGGGCCAGCTCTGGTGGTCTCGGTGGACTGCTCAACATGGCTAGCAAATTCATGAAGTAGGGAAACTGGTCTTTAGTATTGAGAACCTGACCACAGGCAGTATATGACAACACGTAAAAGAATATAACCAATTACTGTGTGAGCCTTGTCTCCATCCACTGCGGTGAAGATGTAACCCTATCGCTGCCATATCCGAAGCACTGTGCCGACGGCCCGAGACCAACCGATGACAATCGATAAAAGCTCCCTTGCATGTCGACAACAAGCCATGGTACTAACCCCTAGGTATCTTATGAGTCAATGGTATGTCGATACCCACCTTCATACCCACCTCGATATCGCGATCTATTGGCATTGATGCATCGCGGTATTAAAGTAGGTGGTGAAGTATCAAGGACAGTGTAGTAGACGCACTCGGGGGTAACAAAAGTTCTACCGCGTAAGACAGGCTACAAAACAACTGTAGTGACAATAGCAAGGGATGTCGGTAATGATACAACGCACAGCGTTGAATGTAACGCTCTAGCTAAAATGGCCGTCCTGCTCTGCTAATAGGCTACAGCGAGAATTTAGGAACAACTTCAAATATTCGTCTCTCTCAATTGGCTACAGCATTGCGCTAAAAGAACGCTAATACCCACCTTTTCACCCAGCACCGGGGCGGCATGCCGTTTGCTCCCTCCACACTCACTGACTCGTTTCCCAATCTTTCCATGTCTTACAAGATGCCTAGGCATTTGTCAATCGCCTGGAAAGTCTTCTCACATCTCCATCCATGACCGAATCCTCTTCATTCCAATCTCCAACAGGTGAGAACCCACATGCAACATTACCGTACATGCAGCGCGAATCACCAGATACATGTGAGATTTGTGCACGAAGTGTGAGGTCGTCTGTGAGAGTGCCGCGCTGGTATAGTCCGATGGTGACATTTTGGACAAGACATGTATGTCCTTCCCTAGAGGAGGGTGCATACAGAGATCACTTGGGTAGGATGAATGTCTTCAGTCTGGAGGCTGCTGTCATTGCTGACATGCAAGTAGCACTCGAGCGCACCTTCCTCGCCTACCTCCGCACGTCCCTCATTCTTGTCATGACGGGGGTCATCATCGCGCAGCTATATCATCTCCAGCGTTCTGCGACACCAAATCCGCGATATGGATTCTATGTCATTGGAGGCCGTCTGAGCGCCGTGTTCATTGCTACAGCGATTGTGGTACTGCTTGTTGGGGCTGCTAGGTTCTGGAGAATTCAAAGACGACTACTAAGGGGAAAGACGCTCACGGGCGGATGGGAAGTGATGTTGATCATGGGATTAACTGCTTTGGTGAGTGATTGAACATATTCAGGTACAGCATTGCAAGATCTACAGCGGCTGACGTTTGAGTAGCTCTTAATCGGGACTTTTGCGTTGGTACTAGGTGTCGATATCGAGAAGACCTACTTCAACGGCTAGCATTCCAAAGACACTTTGTAGATTCCTGTTCAATAATCTGCATATAGGCCTACGAGTCCCAGTCTTTCCTAAGATGCTGCAATAAGCCTGTCTATGCGTCTTGGGTCAAAAGACCCAGCTTCCACGGGAGCGCATTGTATGTTGCACTCGCTGCAGGATCGATACCTTGGTACATGAATCTAAGTCCTGATGTTGGGATCTTCAGCTTTTGGTCCACGTCAGACCGAATGATCTCTCCATGGCTGATACTCCTAGTCCACTTCTGACCATCCGCAAACTTGACATTTGCCTCGCCCATGAAAGGATTCTGCTGTGTAGCAGCAAGCGGAGCCCACTCCCCAGACAGACTGTTGGATGTCCACGAACGGAAATATCTCATTCCACCAGGTGACTCCCCAGCGCCGATGCACTCGACCAATAGTAGGTAACTAGATGCGCCCACCGAGTACACAGTGGCCGCCTCAAACAAATCATTCTTCTGGTCCTGCTTTGCAATAACCGGTTCGCTCATTCCTTCTGGGAATTTGCCAACAGCCGTTTGACTGCGATACAGCCTCCCGTTATCATCCGACGAAAACAAATGGCAGTCTTTGTCGTCGCAGATCACCCACATGTCAACCCAATATCCTTGCTGCGGATTCGTAAGCCCCTCCTGGATAATGGCTGGCGTGCCGTTTGGATAGAAAACTTTGGGCGCCGTCCACCCAGCTGGATTGCTTATGTCTGCATTCGTGCTGTATGCGGCATTGCCATTCTGATAGATGAGATACCAGAGTTTCTGTGGTGCAAAGTAAAACACCTGTGGTGCTGCCCGGTACCCCGTCCCAATAGCCGACTGATCAAGGTAGAAGAAGGGTGCGCGGTTTGCGGCAGCAAAGTCGGTGAAGTTGAAGTAGACGAGACTGTAGCCGGCTTCTTTGGCCGTGCTGGCGAAGACGTGGTATACGCCATTGTGCTGGATGATGGACGGGTCTTTGATGCCTGCGACGTTGCGGTCGTCATTTTTAGGCGTCACGAGCACATTGGAGGAGGTCCAGGAGAAATTGCGGGGGAGCGGGCTGGATTGTCGCGAGTGTAGGCCAGAGGTTGGTGGGAGGCTGCGGGCGGTTGCAAGGCCAGCGAGGCCAGCGAGGGCGAAGACGACCAAGGGAAGCATGGTTACAGGCATGGACATGCGTTGTGTCAAACAATATCTTTTCCCACGTTTGTGCGGATACCGGACTCTTATAGTAAGAAGATGATACTGCGTCCCATGGCCCTAAAATCCAAACAAGCAACTGTCAAGCAAAGTTATAGTAGCCACCCCCCCTTCCCCGCTCCCCTTTCCACCACTATAAACAAAACATGCATGAACGGATCTAAGCTGTGAGATGAGTGGCGAGACCCTCCCGGATGATTCTCTGTTTTCAGCAATGTTTGGGGTGCGCGAGTGTTTTACACAGGGTGTTTGTTCGTTATTTTTATATTAGCCAAGGGGAGTTGTGCCAATGGAGGTAAGTGTGTATTGTGTTCGTTTCTAGACGGGGGAGGGGGGGGGGAAGCGGAGGTTTTAAGCCGTGGATCTGGAACTACCAATCAGGGTTGTGGTGGTTGTTTCAATCGCTAGATGCTGGTGCTACAGGGGTGAGTGTTTGTATGTATGTATGTATGTATACATGTATGTATACAGATGGTAGTATGTAGGTGAGTGGATATTTTCATGAGGGGTTTTACGATAATATAAAGCATGGCGGCGCATGTTGTTTAATGGTAGGATTGGCACCTGGGATTTACAGATATTGTCCATGTGTAAGTCGGTTACGGTACCGGTAGCCGGTGGTTAAAGTACCATTCATTATGCTTATGCTTGTGCCATCTGTTGCAAACTATTTGCTGGCAACGTTGAGGGGACCCAGATCATCTTGCATGTAACGTCTGGTGGAAATGGTGAAGCTTGTGAAATAATACATTCTCTCTGAGCCGATATTTTTTGGATTCGTTGCATTTACGACCGTTGAGCACGTGACTGACTGGATGCATAAGACAGACCAAGGTTGTCACTTGTGAACATGACGCTTGGCTCATCCACGTCATACAGCGACATACCTTCACATCCGCTATGGCAGCTTGCCTACTCTAGAGCACGGCGACAGCGGACGGACATGTGCGGTCCCACAGATGTTTGGTCCACAATCCTTCTTCGCCTCGCCTCGCCTCGTGGGTACCGTTTGGCAAGGGCGCTGCTTATAAAACACGAGCTAAGGATGCCATGAGTGTTTGCAGATGGCAAACCCCAGGCTGAATTGGGCGGTCACCCGAGGCCCATAGTACTGCCTGTCAGCCTTTGTCTGGACGCACATGCAGAAGCACTAGTTGTTGAGGATTTTATTGTCGAAGGATTGGTGGGAACAGCGCAAACTTCGCAACCAGCTGATCCTTGGATGACAATGGCCAAATTTCGCCAAATTTCGCAAAAAGTCGGACCTTTGGCAACAAGTGCGCGCGATGAGTTGGAGATTGGGGGGGGGGGGGTGACTATAACGTTGTCAAAGTAGTACAACTAGAGTGAGCTGGTTGAGGTTAGGCAGGGTCTTGCATTCCAGGCTCTTTTCTAGGTGAACAAGGAACAGTAGCCGTGAAGATTTGCGCAAAGGTTCCAAGCTATTTGGTAGGTGGAGAGGGCAACGGGTGGGACGGCTTGGGAGAGGGACGTTCATGGTCTAGAGTAGGGTAGGTACAGTAGTGCTGGTTGGAATGGTGAAGGATGGGTGGGCGGCGGAGGCGGCCCTGACGCCATTGCAGCCGGCAGACGCCACCCGGGTCCCAATGCGACAACCCTCAAACGGTAGACAAAACTGATGACTGATGCTGTTCTACCAATTCTCCTCAACTCACATCAGCCAGCCTTTCTCTCTCTCTCACACACACACTCTCACCCTCCCACGGCCAAACCGACTACAATCATTCTCACGGTGCGCTTCCCGTTTGCTCCCGAGTCAATCGGCGCCCGCGCCCCAACACAGCTGCAGGCATGGGGCTCTCCAAGTCGACGCGCATTATGATCTTGCTGGCCATTGATACGGGCTTCTTTTTCCTGGAACTGGTCGTGGGCTATGCAGTTCACTCGTTGGCTCTTGTCGCCGACTCTTTCCACATGGTACGATGTCTTCTGTTGTCTGACCGCCGCCAAAGGGTGTCGACTGACGAGAAGCCCAGCTAAACGATGTCATATCGCTCCTGGTGGGGCTGTGGGCCGTCAAGGTCGCAAACCAGAAGAACAATTCCAAGACATACACATATGGAGTAAGGGGAATCTTCGTTTTCCTGACAACAACAAGATTGCATGTGCTGACAGTAAGCAGTGGCAACGCGCTGAAACATTGGGCGCCCTCGTCAACGGCGTCTTTCTCGTCGCCCTTTGCCTCTCCATCTTCCTCGAAGCCATCCAGCGATTTGTCGAGCCGCAAGAGGTATCGCACCCCAAGCTTGTCCTCATCGTCGGTTCCTTCGGTCTCGCCTCCAATATCATCGGCCTCTTCCTCTTCCACGACCACGGCCATGGTCATGGCGGCCATTCCCACGGCCAGGATGAGCATTCGCATGCTGAAGAGGGCCACTCCCATTCTCATGGCGCCGATGCCCACGACCATGCAGTCGCCGACGAGAGCGGCAATGTAGCTGATGTGCTACCTCAAAACCGCGTGGCCTTCCCCTCGACCATTACACAAACCCCCACAAGTGCCAAGGAAGCTGCCGGTTCTTCGCACGCAAACAAACGCCGTTCTTCTCTATCCGGAAAGAAGGCTAAGCGCCACAATCGGTCACAGTCACGCAACTACTCTACATTGGACGAGATCTACGTGCACCCTTCGTCGTTCAGGAACAGCATTATTGAGTCTTCACGCGCCCATGAGCACGACGAAACAGACGATGATGATAACGATGTTTCTGGCGATTCTGCGGCTACTGAAGAGTCTCCTCTGTTGGCCAATTCCAAAGGTCACGGCTCGCAGAAACACTCGCATAGTCCACCCAAGAAGGATCACCACAAAGATCACAACCATAAGCAGCCCAAGGAGGCCAAATCTAGTGGTGGCCACGGTCACTCTCATGCGGATCTCAACATGCGTGGTGTCTTTCTTCATGTCATGGGTGACGCTCTAGGGAACATTGGCGTCATTGCCACTGCGCTGTTCATCTGGAAGACCAACTTCTCATGGAGGTTCTACGCCGATCCTGCAGTCTCTCTTCTCATTACCGTTATCATTCTCCTTTCAGCACTCCCATTGTGCAAAGCTGCCTCTCGCATTCTTTTGCAAGCCGTTCCTGAGCACCTGTCCATTGACGACATCAAGGAGGATATTAGTGACCTGGATGGCATCGTCTCGTGCCATCATCTGCATGTCTGGCAGCTTTCTGACACCAAGCTCATCGCCTCGTTGCACGTCCAAGTTGACTTTGACTTCAAAGATGAGGGCTCTGCGCGTTACATGGATCTTGCAAGGCAAATCCGTGAATGCCTTCACGAATATGGCATCCACTCATCCACCATCCAGCCTGAATTCTGCCTCAACGCCAGTCACGACCACTCATCCGCCGGTTCAGACGAAAGCAGTCCCGAGGACGTTGGCAGTAATAGCAGGAACCCTAGCGTAAAGGGTGGTCCGGATGCTTGCCTCCTCGAATGCCCTGACAGCTGTGGCAATGCCAAGCAGTGCTGCGATCCTGGCATCAAGGCATGTCAAGGTACCAATAGCTCTTCTTGATTTCTCGCGACCGATTAATATCCTCCTTTTTTTCCTACGCCTTGTGGATGTACTTGCAAGATATTGCTACTGCTTATGCGGGTGCGAATGCGGCAGTCGTATAGATTGTGTTCTCCTTTATCAGATGGATTCATTGGGTTATTCTAGGTCAGGTCCGGGATGGTTGGTTCAATTGGAGTGATCATGTGGACTCTTTTTTCTTTCCTCCTTGATGATTATTCAAAAGCACGGCCGGGGCGAAGTGGCTTGGAAGTTTGGCTTACTATAGTAATTAATGAATCTTCTGATTCCAAACAATCAATTCTCTCTTCCAGCGCACCACTCCAGCACTCACTCCCATCCTGCGAGGAGACCAGATGTTATCCCGAGCGCACGTCTGACTAGCTTCATTGACCGATTAAATACCCATCACACTCGGGGAGTATGCACAACATCCATACCTCCCCACAACGCCTCGACGAAGCGCAAAAACACTCCACACCGCAGATAAACCAAGTCTCAAAAACGCCTGCACTACAACCCACCCTCGCTATAGCGTTTACCCATGTACCCGCTGCCCCCCCCCTATCTGCTCTGCTCCACAACCAAAGGTACAAAAAATCCTACCGAACGTTCCGGCTCGCACGGTACCTTCCGAGGTAGCTAACCACATACTTAGTCTCAACTCAAACGGTCTCCGAGGTGGGGTGGTGCTGACTCGCGAGGTGGGCTCGAACTTTCTCTGGCTGCTGGTTGCGGAAGGGTTTATTTCTTGGTGTTGGCTTTTGGAGAGTGAGGATAGGTGGGTAGGTATATGTACTCATAGGGAGGGGCGTAGATGTGAGCTTTTTGAGGGAGGGCTAAGGGAAGGGGGAAGGGGGAAGGTAAATGTGATTGATGATGTGGGATGGAGTCATCTATGCGTGTAGATAGAGGTGAGGAAGAGGGGTTCGATGGTGGCTAGATATTTGGTCCTTTCATACAATGATGCTATCGACTTTTGAATTATGCCAAGTTCTCCAGGTTTATTTGAGGGTGCGCAATGTTGTATCAATGCCAGCCATGCGCTCATGTCGACGACGACGTACTGAACTCTGACTAAACGCATCTAGCCAATTTTGTAGCGGAAGAGGAATGCGGGAGTTTTAAATTCTTTTGAGGGGTCTTGATGGTTTGTAGGAGGACAAGGACCAGGTGCGTCTATATCCTTAGTGGTGTTGATTCTCTCTAGTCTGCTGTCGTGACTTGTGAGTGAGTGGATGTGGTCTGCCTAGAAGTCGTTCCTGTGATCTGGCATGTGTGCCAAAATCCATTTCTCATCTTCTTAGTAGTGTGATGGGTATTGAATCGTGAGGCTGGGCGTGGTATCGAGGGAGCTGCAACAAAGTTACATCAATGTGGTAGCGTAGTCACTAGTGCTTAGTACGGCGTTCTTTGGTAGAGAAGGGGGTTGATATGTCTTGTATTCTACGTACAACTCTCTATTCATGGCAGTGACAGTACAAGGAGCAAGTTCGCTGAACGTTCACTCAGGGGTACAGGAAAGCTCAAAGATGTCCCTAGACGCCCATTTGTCGCGGGGAAGCTGTGATGACTATGAGGCATGGCGCTATGTCATCGAGGGGCGGTGCCGGATTAGGAAATGGTGAACGCACAGACTCTTACAAGGTTCTGCTTCTGCGGACATGGTTCCGTCCGATTTCACTCACACCCTTGACATTCCATCGACATCTGCTCGGCAGTACTTCGACGATTTGTAGAGTATCAGTCTGTCTATAACAAATGGCATGTTGTTAACATACAGAACTCCAACGCAAGTTACCTTTGTCACTTGTTTTTGCCCTACTCAGGGGCTCAGCTTCTTTAAGCCACACGACTCTAGCGCTCGTATTGGCAGCCGCTTTCAGCCACTGACTACCAGCTTGGCAGTTATTTATGGCTATGGCATTCCTCGTGATTTATGCGCCCTCTTGGATTCCACTTGTACAAACCACCCATTCTTTTAGCCCTACCGTTGCTGGTTAATACAGACGAATGGATCGTTCAACGCACCCTACGTTTTTATAGTTAATATTCCTTGATCCCCCTCAATCACAACCCTGCCTCTTCTTCACACACCCAAGAAATTTAACGCTCTTCAGCGACTTCTGGCAGCCATGTCCTCTACTTCTGCTTCTGCTTCTGCGACAACAACGTACTCATTCAGCTACACCACCTTCACCAACCCGACTCCCGTTGCCTTTACGAAACCCACCGAGTTCCCTACCATCTTCTCCTTCGGTAGCGCAGTCGGCTGCTCCTCCAACACTGCCTCGGCCACTGCCTCAGCGCTCCCCTCAAACGCACCTCTCCTCAACCCTACCGGCCGCGAGGCCGCCTGCGTTATCAGCAACGATGCCGAAGTCAACGACCACGCCTTCTGGGACCTCTACGCATGTTGCAAAGGGGGCGACATGACCGCCATGGGCGACCCAATGCTGTGCACTGCACAGTGCAAGCCCAAAGACGGACAGACATGGGAGGATCTCGGCGACTGTCTGAGCAAGAGGGTCGAGGTCGTGGTGTGCAAGCCCGACCAGGCTGAAATCGCAACCGGTGCGCCACAACAAGCCAGTGAATCGGCAGCCCAGTCCACGGCTTCTGCGAGCGGAACTCAAAGTGCTAGTGCAAGTAGCAGTGGCCCGGCTGAAGCCAGTGGATCGAGCGCTGCGACGAGCATGCATGCTGTGCAGGCGACTACTTCAAAGGCAGGACTTGTCATCTTCGGTCTTGTGGCACTGGGTTCTGCTATGGGCATGTTCTTGTAGACCCCAGGATCTACGGAAAGGAACAGGCGTGTAGATGTTGTATTCTTTGCTGTCGAGTCACCGGAGTTAGTAGTGAAAGCGCTGGCTTGGGTCATTAGTTCATACCTTCATTAGTAATGTATATTTTTAGAAATCGAGTTATCATCTTTTCCAACCACATCTTTTCGGAGACATACCATGTAGCTGCAAATGTATGAGTGTTCATCAGTCATCATCTGATTGTCGCGCTAAGACAAGGATTACATTCTTACTCTGATTGGTGGATACATTATCCGTCATATCTGAGAAGCTTCACACAGTCTCCCAATTGTGAGTACCTCGAGGACTTCATCCAACCCCAAGATCCTAAATGTCATGCAAACTTACCTACTACAAGGTACGTTGGCTTCCACAATAGCTGGAGCACCGATGCACGGTTTAACAGTCTATCAGCGCGTGATTTTAGTTTTCACTAACAATTTCGCGATCCTCGCCAGAAAGAACTGCCTGATGAAGTATCTTCTCAATCTCTTCGATGTTTCGATCATCGAACGACGATTGTGTTCCAGGTATCGCTGCAGAGTCAGATGACATGACCCGCCAGCATCTAGTTCAATTCTGCCACATCCACGCACGACCGCGATGACTCTGGGCTGTAGAGACGCCAGCAGAAAAGGCAAAGGAGCGAAAATGTATGTCGCGTAAAGGGTTCGACATTCCCAGACCTTTTGTTGCAGCTTGCCTTTGACGTATTCTTCTAAGAGTTTGACTATCTAGCTGAAGTTAGCGCAGATCAATTAACCGCTCGATAGGTTGGGTATCTACTTCGCGTAACGCTCACGCACATTGTCCTTTTGCTGTTGACACCATCTTGCATTTTGCATCTTGTAATAAACGCGTCAGTCTATTCCACTTTCAACAGAGCCTACAGTCATAACGCATTGCCAGTATGCAAGTGACCATTAGAAGATGGCGACCAAATGGCGAATGGCTACTACCCCTGACTGGTCTTACGTACAACACCCATTATCGCTTCGCCTCGCGCTGAAGACCAAACCTCGCAATCCGGCCAAGTGCGTTAGATTTGAAGTTCTCCTGACCTTTTGGCATTCGAATCAAGGAAACGAACTTTAAAATGCCGTTACCGAGTATCCATCTTGCACTCAATCTTCATCAAACAGGTCAGCGCTATCAGCCATCAAAGCGCCACAGCAAAGAATCGAGGTGGAAACCCGCTCGCGTATGTTTGAATATCTTGGTCCTTCCTGATTAGGTACTCTCTTGTCGAATATCGTCTTTATCATTAGTCGGCTGCGCATGCCCAGCTGCCAGTTCGCCTATTGGAACTCCTCTAGCGGGCCTCGATAGCGACATCTCTCCTCTTTATCCAATCTGCCACCACCACAAGTCTACGGGTCGCCAAGGCCTAGACAGCGAGTAGATGCGGCTCAAGACCTCGTACGGGATATTCTTTTGGGTGGCTGCACATCCTCGAAGTCGGAGGAGATCCACCTTCTGCAAATGGCTAGCGTCATAACTGGTTTGACCTTCCGTATGGAGCATGATTGCCAATTCGTGCCTAGACGTTGTGATTGCTACCAAGACCGTAACATACAATTGAGGTGTCGTGTGAAGTTGTGGTGATCGGAGACGAGTGTTGAGTTTTGCAAGTCTGCACATGCCATATATATACCTTAGCTACATCACGAAAGAATGTGCTCATTACTGCTCAATCAAGCTTGTTCCCAGCTGCCAAGATGAGATTTACATTAGCAGCCCTCGTGCTCCCAATTGCGGTCAATGCTGCTCATTACTCATCCTCCGAGTATGCATCCGGTCAAGTTCATCAAAAGTTGATGAAGTTGAAAACTGTACGAGGCATTGTTGAAACCTAAGATAGAATGAACACTGACTGTTTTCATAGGATCAATGGGAGCATGACGCAGCAGAAGGAAGACAAGATTCTCGCCAATGGCAGTCTTGGAAGAATGCAAACAAGGGTGTTTGGAAAGGAGGAAAGGATAATCGCATCAAGTGCAAAGATGGCCTTGCTATTGCGGAGGCGGGTAACGCGAACCAGACGTTCCGCTGCAACAACGTATGTCCTACGTTCTCCCTCGTTTTGGGGTATGGAACTGATGATAGTAGATGGACTTATACGACTTCGTGAACCATGCGGACATGGGTGGCCCAGAGGGACAGGGCTCTTCCTCATGGGGATGGACTGCTCGGAATGGTCGTGAATTTGGTATCGTCGGCCAGTTCAGCGGCGCTGCCTTTGTTGAGATCCTCAAGGATGGTCAGATTCAGTACATGGGTCGTCTACCTGCCCAAAGTGTTGGCTCAAGATGGCGCGAGATCCGTGTCTTGAATGACTATGTCATCATTGGATCTGAAGCTGTTGGCCATAACGTTCAAAGTGAGTTCTGAACATCTTAAAATCTTCGCAAACATACTAACAGTACCGCTAGTCTTTGACATGAAGAAGGTTTTGACTGTAGACCCGAAGAGTCCTAAGACCTTCAACCCCAAGACGGACCTCGTAGGTCTCTGGGATCAACTTCCAATTGGTCGTACTCACAACGTCGTTGTCGATTGGGACACTGAATCCATTTTGGCCGTAGGCGCCCAGCCTCGTAACCAGACTTGCAAGGCTGGTCTTCAGTACATTGATCTGAAGAATCCCTCCAAGCCTACATCCCCAGGCTGTGCTAGCCAGGACGGCTACGTACATGATGCCCAATGCGTCATCTACAACGGCCCAGACCGAAGATACCGTGGTCGCAACATCTGCATCGGCTACAATGAAGACACGGTTACGGTCTACGACTCCACCAAGAAGGATGGAAACCCAGCTTCCGAAGTGTTGTCTCGCCTTTCCTACCCCGGAGCGACCTACTGTCATCAGGGTTGGTGGCTCGAGCGTAACTGGCACCAGTACGTCCTTCTGAACGATGAGCTTGACGAGCAGGAGGCAGTTGGACCTGCCGCCTCTGGACGCCCCGTCACTCACATCATTGATTTCACCGATCTCCGCAACCCCAAGGCTACCGGAACCTTTTTCGCAACTGACCACAAGGCTATTGACCATAACCTTTACATCGTCGATGGACTGGCTTACCAAAGCAACTATGGTGCAGGTATCTGGGTCCATGATGTCCATTCCGTCAGCAAGGACCCCTCCGGGAAGTCAGTCAAGGTGGAGGGTTTCTTCGACATCTACCCTGAGGATGACTCTGTTGGCGGAATCGTGCAGTTTGTCGGCACATGGTCTCATTTCCTCTTTCCTTCAGGCTATATCCTGGTGAACACCATCGAGCGTGGTGCATTCACCATAAAGCTTGCCAAGGGTCGCGGTGCAGGCAGAGGACCTGGCTTTGGAGGGAAGTCGAAGGGCCAGGGCAGATAGTAGGATTTTCGTATCTCTAAGAATGAAGTAAGATTTTCAAAATGTAAGACAATGACGCCTCTTCATGACGATTGTGATAAGTCAGCCTCACTGTTCTAATCGGGCCATACCGAATTGGCACAGGCACGCAGATGCCCCTGGTTTCCCGACGTGCTGTTTCAACGTCATCAACTCGGTTGGCGCTGCAAAGTTCAGAAGATCTCTGCACACAAGCCCTACAGTAGTCCCATATCTCCCTTACTACTCAGCTCAACACTGCTCGAGGTGATGTACTTGTGAGCTACCGGTAGCACATTAATGACGCCAGCGAAAGCCGAAAGGCGAGAAGTCCTAGAGATGCCCATATCGAGCAATATTGGGCGCATAGGATGACAGATAACATCTACTACCTATTCACCAAGCCGTCCTTCGACGCTCACCGGTGAACACCCTTGCTGATAATCGATGTTTCAAATATCTCACGTGTATCCCGAGGAACTCCTGCAGTTTCGCAAATCAGCTAAGGAGACTGCAAAGCGTCTCCAGGCAAAGACCCCTGCAGCAAGAAAAAAAAGCAAAGAGACACACAAGCAATAAGACGCAGTTGTATTCTCCGATTGGTCCTGCCAACATACCATGCATGATCCCCTCAACGTGCAGTCCTTCGTAGGATATGTACCCATCTATATGTAGTAGTCCTTGAGAACTAACAGCAAACTCAGCTATCTACGCTTCACATTGCTTATTGGAACTCCCGGCCACCGCTGCTTACAAGAAACCTGGTGCATCCCACGGCATCCGTTACTGGTGTACCAAACACACTCTGGTAGGTACGCAACCCCCACGCCCAAATTTGTTCGCTGTCTCAGCGGAGAGCAAGTTATTAGATAAGATGCAATTGCCTTTTTTAGGCTAGCTCGCCCCTGTCCATATGAATAAGATGCTCTGGCCAATCCCAGTCACCACTCGACGGTAACCCTGATAGGTAAGATGTCTGTCGTCTATGTCAGCACAACATCATTTTGCGCATGCAATGGAACGTTGATCTGTCTTCAACTATGAAGCGCTGTTGAGGTCATTAATCTTCTTAGGCTGGTTGATCCCGGGCTGCAGCAATAACGCACAATTGGCGACTGTGCATCATTGTGAGCAGTATGAGAATCATGGTAGATAGATCTGTCGCTCGTAAAGGTTGTGGTTCTGTGGCTAAGGCTGCTTTTGAAGGAAGTATTACGGCCAAATTGTCTATACTAGTCGAGCATGGTAGGTATAGTAAGGGTACCTAAGTTCTCGCCTCTTCTTAGGTGCATTAATTGATTGCTTGACTGAAAGCTTGATTGAAGACTTGATTGATACCTTAAGTGGTAACTTAGATGGCATGCCGTAGATGACAGCTTAATCCACAACTTAGCCAGTGCTTCTAAAATCTGTATAATTTCTTGCGTATTGTCCAAGGTCAGTGTTTGTCACATGGTCGTTCTCAGCTTACGTAAAGCGTGAGTGCCCCCTGTTCGACTAATTACAGAGCCGTTCTATCTAGGGACTAATCAAAAGCGTACCCTTGCAGGCTTTTGGAGTGATAGCTTCTTTTGGAAGCAACGAATTTATACAGTGTTTCAACTCATTCATTATGTTGGTCTACACAAGCTATACAACGAGCCATGTTCTGTTTATCGTAGTCTAGGTAAGCTACCTAACACGTACCACGTAACGCGAACCTTCGCTTTTTCTCGTCCAAGGACCAAAATTTAAGAAACAGAAAACGCCCCCAGGCTAGAGACAGAGCTGCCCACCAAAGTAAACCGCTCGAAAGGAAAACGCCATCGAGCTATGCAGAACAAATCAACGCCAATAATGCCGGTAAGAATGAGTTGTGGCAAACAGGGCCACCTTCAATAATAAGGCTACGACTCACTACTCTGGGGGGAGTCGTCATCCGGACTAGCCCAGAGGTGTTGCCAGATTACAAAGAGTTCTCCAAGGTAACAATTTCTTCGAATGCTTCACGCCACCTGCGTGTCTCTTCTTTGGATGGCCGGGGCAGAGGCTTGCGTGCGAAACCTCCGTAGCCGAAATGCGACATCAGACCAGCCTTCGTACCGATAATTCCGCCTTGGATAGCAGCCCAGTCACCACGAGCGATTACCGCTTGCAGTTTACGGGCTTCCTCGAATTTCCCAGATTCAACGAGCTCGACCAATTTCACACACGCCTTGGGCGCGATATTGGCCATGCCGCCGATTACGCCAGATCCACCTCCGATAAGCGTCTGCAGAGTGAAGTCTACGGAACCGCCCATGCACATGAAGCCAGAGCCAGGTTCTGAGATAGTTGCAGCTCGGGTAGCGGCTGCGACACGGTTCAATTTGCCAGTGTTGCCGCACGTCAATTTGCAGCCCACAATGTTGGGGTGTTGAGCAAGCTCAATGATGATGTCGGAGTTGAGGTCCATTCCTGAGACAGCACCGGGATAGTTGTAAATGAGAATTGGGATTGGAGAGGCAGTGGCTACGTCTCTGAAGAAGTCTTTGACGGTGTCCTTGGAAAACAGTCCCTGATAATACGCAGGTGGAAGTACCAGGGCGTAATCACCACCTGCAGCTGCCGCCTCTTCGCAAAGCTCGATGCATTCTCGGGTAGATTGAGCGCCACAGCCGACGATTATGGGCAAGTACCCAAATCCAGCATCGTCGAGAGCTTTGCGGGTAGTGCTTGTGATGAGATTTCGTTCTTTGTGTGACAAATGTACGGCTTCACCATTCGATCCTTGGGTGGTAATGCCAGCAACTCCTGCTTTGGCCAAACGCACAGCATGGCTGGCAACCGTCTTGGTATCGACATCATCTGATGTAGGATCAAAGAAGGCTACGGTGGGAACGTAGATACCAGGGACCAGGGCACGATGAAGACCAACATCAGCGGACTCAACCGAGCTGGTCTCGAAGTCATTGTAATGGTTCATGTTGTAAACAGATTGGACAGGATGATGGAAATCCGCACTCGACGAACTCGGTGTGAAATCGTTGGAGGGAGAAGGTGCGTCGCGATGTGGTGACATGTTGGGAGAGTGATTGAAGAAGGCAATCCAGAAGCTTTTATACAAAAAAAAAAGGGAGGGCTTGCAGACACAAGCGGAACTTTTGACAAAGACTAAGCGGAACGCTGAGACGATGAATGGAAAGGATACGTCAATGGATGATTGTTGTTTGGTAAGTTCCCGAGGATAGTACAGTTACTTAAATAATTCAAACGCCGGATGAGCCATGGCGTGGGCAGGACGCCAATGATGCGTGTGGGGGTCCAGCTGACGGCTTCATCCAATGTGCTAGTTCACTGGGAGGGGCGAAGCAAGGTGCGTAGTACGTACAGGACCATCCATGAGGGGGATTGTACAGGCAATCCTGGTGACAAACCGAAGGGGCGGTGACTCCACATGGCCGATGCCAGGCACATCTGTTTATGCTTAGGTGAGCCATCCACACTGGCCCGGCCATGTCCAATAGGAGGGAATGCAGCAGTGATGGAAGCGGTGTTTGCTTTTTACGCTGGTGTTGCAGAGGGGTGACAGGGGTGCGGGGAGCTGTGAAATCGGGATCCCGGCTGGATACGATGTGTGCAAGGGGCGTGCCTTGTGACGATCTCTCTGGAGACACGGCTGGCACCACACGAAGGGTTGGCGGACCTGCAACGAGCGTTGATGGGGACAGTTCGGGGTGTTAGTGTGGGGGTGGAGCCATTGTGGCAGTCCGCGGGCATGGACGGGCTCAGCACAACGCCTCTTCACATCATCTGATACAATATCCTCCAACTGGCCCTGGTCGAGGACGTCTCTCTTTCGTGGTCCCAGTCGTTCCAGCCTTCAACCATCTCGGCGTCCACTGACGGTGTGCATTGAAGGTCTGCAAACGGTAACCATAACCAGGCCACTTTGACACCGAGGCAAGACGTGGCAGTTGTCCAGCAGTGCGGTTCCGTCACAAGGCCATGCACCAGCAGCAGCAGAAAAGGGTGGCCACCGCACCAAGGTTACCGCCGAGCACAAACGAGACCAACGTTCGCTCTGTCTAGCGGCGTAGCCATTACAGAGGCTGGAAAGCAACGACACCAATCGGCGGTGCCAGCTTCGTTTCACCCCCACGCTCACTGATGACCATTGCCAGTCAAAGCTTGAGAACGCCACTCATGGCTGCCAAACGCGTGTTCTTATCGGCCATTATAGGATAGTCTGGCACCTGTCTGTTTTCTGTCCGTTGAACTGTCAGCAAGTATAGGACAGCGTGGGTGGGTTGGTTCTGATGAGTCCTGTGAATCCGAATCCAAACAGCTGGCCAAGGGGACACGACATTCCCGAACCCTTTCCCGATGTGCCGACTTTGCTCTCGGCATTTGTGTGAGACCCAGAGAGCCGCATGCGTGGAATTGAGATGTGTTTTGATTCCAACGAACAGGCTTGAAGCGCCTCCTTCGTGGTACCTGATCTTCGGAGGCGGTTTCTGATTGCACCCCCACGCATAGCTGCCATTGTGTTCGGGGCAACTCGCCTCGACTACCGGTATAGCCCTTTCGCCTATGGGAAATGCTGCCCCCCTTCCCGAAACCCACAACATCACATGGGGGGATAGGTAGGTAGGTAGGTCCAGATCCCGTCGATAGACTTTTTGCACAGCAACCGAATCTCAATTAGAGTACGTATAACGATATAATCGCGATCCGCCCTGGGGATCAAATCAAGGCCAACACCATGTCAAAGGCGATGTCGCGTATGGAAACGAGGGAGGGATGCTTCATCCGGCTTCAGAGACGGCATCATGTGGCCCTTGCAACCCAGCGCCTCCTCCGTTCGGCGTCCCAAGATGCAAATTGCAAAACATGTGGACTGTGATGCTACTACAGAGTAGAGTACAACATGCGTGTCCTCGTCATGCACACAGCCTCGTCACGTAGGGTAGCGAACTCCGAGGCTGGACCGACGATGCATGCCAACAACAGAACGACGCTTATTACCCCACAATTGGCGATCCGAGAGGAGAGCCTGCCCCGCCTTCTTACCATGTTGGACCACGACCACCACACGGCTGCACCTAGATTCTGTCTTGCATGCTGCCCAGTCCCAAGAAGAGCGTGTGGCTGTCTAGGAGTATGACATTTCATGCATTGGGGCCCTGAGCATGCACGCACTGTACTACTACTATACCGCGGTGCTGTTCGGGGTGCGGCCCAAGTGGCGATCCTTCAAGCCCATCATTCTGTGAACGCAGTACCGAGAGGAGGCCTTCTTTGCCACATCAATCTACTTCAGGAGCTGCCGTTGTACCAGTCTCTGTAGCGTGTAGTCATGCTGGTCTGTATACCGGATGATGAAACGAGAGGACCAGCAACAGAGCCAGGGTTTTGGCATGTGAGTCCATCTTTGCTCCAATCATTGAATATCGGACACGTTCACAATGGCATGCAGTATGACCTCCACACTGTGTTCCGCTGAACCCGCTGAACCCGCTGAAACAGGCTACAATGCGTAAACATGGGCTGGACGATTTCGATTCAAGTTTTCGCTTGCCTGATACCGATCCTAACACACTCACCTTGTCGAATGCCAAGGTCAAGTAAACAATGCTCAACCCCCTTATTACGAAATACCACATTCCACTTCCTCATACCGGAAAACCGGCCATTCAAAATCTGAAGAGATCCAATATCGGGAGACTGATGAACGTATTATCCATTGCTCATAGGCATCTTTGTTGATTTCTAACATGGCCAACAGTGCGGGCAACTCCGAGCAAGACTTTGAACGTTCATCTACGCCCATCTCGGCATGTGTAGTGTACTATCATTAGTCACAATACCGAGTTCCACTGCATAACATCCGCCGACAATGGCAATTCCTCACGCGCATCCAGAAAAGGTTGTTCGCAACGGCAGTTGATGTTCTGCAATGTTTGCCACTACCACTACGCGGCAAAGATCATCCCTGGTGTTGAGAGCCTCAACTCAACCGATCAAATAGCCGACCGCGCGGGATGACTTACCCCTAGTGAATCCTAGAATTTCTTTTTCCAGGAACAGTGCTGGACGCGGGATGCCAAGTCTTGACAATCATGTTCCAATTCTGAACTTTGAAATTTCTGATTGTCTGGTTTGGATGGTTTTCGCCTCCTCAACAGTTTTTTCTTGGGAATTGAGGTACGGTAGGTGTCTGGTGGGGAAGCCAGAATGTTGAATTCTGCACATGGTCCGCTTCCCCGTGTACGAGGCATACCCATTGATCGGTATTTGACGGTCTACAAATCGGAAGTTCCTAAATTGTCCTGTTCTGCGAAGTACCTGTACCTTCATGTTTATTTGGTAGTAACACCTGGCGTACTCAAACATCATCCGATTCCAGCCAAACCACCTGCTGATTTGTGGGATGCTTGACAGCTGCCCCGAATAAGGCGGACAAAACCAAGACAGGCCCACTACCTATGACAATCGCTACACAAAAATCAAGATTGGAGAGGCTGAGTAGAGTGAATCTGATAGGAAGACGTTCCAACTTCTATTCCCTCACACTCAGATGACTTGAACTAAGAGTCTGTGGTGATTTTCATGATCGGTAAACATACGCTCACAAGATCACGAAAATCCTCGCGTAGTATCTGCGACACTGTCACTCACACCTCCACAATGGCATCGATAGGCCGTGGAGGACCCTGCAAAGTTTGGGCCTCTCCGGTCAAGAAAGCCAAGTGCAAGAAAGCGGGCACAAGCAGAGCTCAGAGCTTGTTCGTCATCCCCGAAAAGCATGTGCAAGTCTTTTGACAAGGCCCGCAGGCTATGCGTAGATTTTCTCGAGTCATACCATGGCGCCTATACATCTGTACCGAGGTTCCCTGATCCATCAGAGGCAGGGGTCTCTTGTAGTTGCATAGACATGCATCAGGTTACATGTTGTGCAGATCTTGCCGAACAAACCTTCGTGCGTGTCCAGCGTTTATGATGGTAGTAGGGTGTCATTCTATAGAGCAAGCCACAGGAAAGGGCCATCTATCCTATTCAGCTTCCGCTAATCGAGTGATGGATTCTGTCTGCGGCTATGTACTGTACAAATATTGTATTTGCCCGCCTCTAGAAGATGTTTCAGTCCCCAGAATACTGATTCTCTCAATTGTATGTTGAAGAAGGCATATCAAACGTACTGTATAAACATCACGCCACCACCGCAATTCAAACACCTACCTGGACCCCCAACCGGGAGATCCGCCAGGCCAACGAAAACCTCCAAACTCCCTTTCACATCTCCTGAGCATCTGGGATCAGAATCCTTCACACTCACGATCAAGACCCAAAACCAGCTTAAATCCCCACCATTTTTTCCACCAATTGCGCGCCCTCCCAAAACTCGGGTCGTCAAACCGACCTCTCGCATAAAGAGGCCCGCTTAGCTGCGTCTATTAACCAATGACCCTGGTAATCTTTTACAAATCGTGGGGTAGTACATGCATGCCCAGGCGGCTCTCTCTATCCTCGCATCAGGATGCCGCATGTAAACGATGCGGGATACACAAGGGACCCTTCACACGCCGATCTAGATGTGCGTACCTAGTAGACATCCATTCCTCAATATCTAGGTGGTTGAAATTCTCCTACATCTCCGGTTGACAAAAGTGGAGGTTGCCATACGGTAGTTGATGGCTTCTAGCAATGCAAAGACGATTGTTTTGGATTGCACTATATAGCGGCACAATCGTTCGTAGAGTCTGATTTGTTTAAAAATTTGCTGTTCATCGATGTTGAGATACTCATTGAACTTTATGTGATCATCAGAACTACTGGCTATTGAAGGTTAACAACCAATTTCCCATCCTATACCCGCTATGAAGATCTGATCTGGAAGAGAAACCCCGAGTTCCCCGTCGAAGCAATTTGCAATAATGATCTTCGAAGGGCACTATACGAGGCAGTCTAGATTTCACAATATCTCGACATGCGGAGTATACCCTACGTTCACGATATACCTAGGCAGCTACAGTCTCAAATAAATAATCAACATCAAAGAATGGCCAAACAAACGGCCTTGAAAAGCAGCGACCGTATCTACGCTAAACTCATCTCACAAAGCGAGTTATACACCCAGAGCATACATGAAACTGCCTGTCCCATTCATCATCCCCCCAATGACCTGACAATCTAGACTACAGAATTATACACGCATGGTACGATCTCACTGATGTTACACATCCTATCAGTCCTCCACAATACCCCAAAAATTCATCTCCATTCTCCACAGGCCTAGACCCAGGTCATCAGCAGCCTCTGAAACGTACCCATGGTACCGGAAGTCTTGATGTCGTCTTATCAACGACCCATAGCTATGAGTGTGGGGTATCTTGATGCGCAATGCACGACCGCGTGGGTGACGCCGAAATGTGTCCGATGGTTATGCAGCTGGGATCTGGGATCATGGGGAAGTTGGTTGCGGTGTGGGAGGACTGGATCGGTTAAAGTACATGTAGGCATGTTGCTTGCTAATTCAGGAACAGTTTGTTGATAAATGTCTCACTTTGAGACGCCATGTCCCTATGGTCAGGTTTACGTGACGGCTCAGCACATGTGATGGGGATGAAGATGAAGATGTCTATCAATTAGTAAACTAAATGGCTGTCAGTGTGAAATATATCCTTTCTTGATGGGATATTTCCTATATGGCTAGGCTTCTAACAAAACTGCAAGAAAGCAGCTAAATTAAAGATACTCTGATTCCAAGTCTCGGGACATTTCAAGGACATGTAACATACTTCATGAATATGGACAGTAAATACGGTACTGAAATCACAAGACCCACGCGCCGGCCTGCCGATCTTCAAAATAAACGCCATCATTATTCCCAGCCCACGTTCTCAAGCTCATCGGATTACTATCCCCCATCACTAATGACTATGTCTCCTCTTCAATCTCGGATCATTTTAAAAGGAAAGAAGCACGAATAGATAATTCTGGAATAGATACTTCTGAAGGTTGTGATAAGGCAGCTATCCTGAAAGATTAAATGCGTATTTTGTGAGCATATGAGAGTCTCGAGGTGGAGAAAAGAAAGGCACTGAGACCAACCATTCATGGCAGCAAAGCAAGAAACGGCGCCACCCAGGTACCAGTATCAAAGACACATGGTCCCAGGAACGGGTTTTTGGGGAAGCGCGGCAAGGAATAAATGCTCTCAGTTGAAATTTTTGCGTGTATCTCGGTCCGACAATCATGATGTTGGGATCAAATCTGAGTGAAGTATTCTAGCGGCCGAAGAATCGCCTTGCCATCGATCGATAGAAGCTGAACAGTTTTGCGTCTTGGTCAAAGGCGATCTTTTGATGACGAGAGCATCAAGTAATCGTGCATGTTCAAATGGCAAAGATACATCTTACAAAAAGACAAGACTAATACTAGATTTCCAGATCCACGACCACAAACACCGAATATTTTCTAATGAGTACAAGGTATCACAGACTCCAGATAGCAAAAGCTGAAGAATATAACCAGAAGTCCAGACCGACATGCCACATATAGCTCTCCCAACTACCGAAAAAAACATCAAATCACTCATACCTCAATTTTGCAAGGCGCGAAGACAAACTGGTTTTTAGTGGAAAAGTTCAATCACAACGACCTCTCACCATTCCTTTCGGTAGTACCATATGTAGCGGGCTTCCTCGCGTTGCCTGTGACATCGCTCCAAGCAGCGCCGAACCTGCGGCCCGTGCTTGCGAGCAGTCCTTCCTCCTCTTCCTCCTCGAGATCACGATCGACCTGCTCTTGGTCTAGAGAGGGTGCCTTGAATAGCGTGGTGAGGAAGACAATGAGGTACACGCCAAGGAAGGCGAACTGTGCCCAGAAGAGCACAACACCAAAGAAGGGGAAGTTGATGGTGACGCGATTGATGAACGTGCTGAGAACGGAAGGTGTGCAGACAGTTTGGGCAGAAGGATTGGTCGCCAGTTCAGAGCACGGCTTGATTAGGTCTTTGTGTTCTGAGCAGTCGGGCTGCTCACCCTCGCCATTAATGTCCATGTCACAGTAGGTCTGAGGTCCCCATGTGGCGTATTGAGGAGCGACAACCATGGCGACTGAGTAGTTGATGGCCAACGTGATGAGCGTGAGCAGGACGGTGGCCATAAGCAACGCTTGAGGAGAGGTCTGACCCTTGCGGATCTTGAAGATGGTGATCCACAAGAAACGAATTCCAGCCGTCGCGATACCGACGACAGACGCTGAAAAGAAGAAGAGAACCAGGAGGAGAAACAGAACATAATCGATGGGGAACACTTTGGAAGATTTGACCAGAATATAGTTCAGCGGCTGGAAGATGTTGATGTGGCCAAGAATGTAACCGCAGTGGGCGCCACAGATGGAGTTCTTCGCCTTGTCGATACCCGTGATGAGCATGCTAGCGAAGATGACAAGGGCAAAGACCATGAGGAGCAATCCACCAACTAGTTTGAGGGGCCGGAAGAAAGCCTCAGTCTTGATCCAGGCTTTGACGATCCAGTGACGATCCGTTCCGCTGGTCTCAGCAGCTAGACGCTCGCGGCGAATAAGCGTGCGCTCTTCGCGGACGAGGGCATCAAGCTCACGTCTGTCGCGAGCATCGAGACCACCATCACGCCCCTCATTGCGACCCTCGAGTTGTCTCTGGCGCTCGCGGTTGTTCTCGAGCTGCGAGGCAGTATTGGCGGCTAGCGTGGGGGCTGACATGGAAGGCGCAGACTTGATCATGGCAACAGGAAGGAGCGCCATACCAGCACCCGTGTAGAGCACAAAAAGGAGAGTCCCGACAGTGATGAGAAGACCGAGACCAAAAGAAAGAGCGCGCTCGCCATCTAGTAATGTTAGTGATGAATCTAAACGAGTAGAAGGTTTCGAACTCACGATTCTCAGCAAGAAGGTGCTTGAAGTAGTCGAGATCCAGGCGCTTGTCGTCCTTGGCTTGCTTTGCAAAGGGAACGAAGAAGCCTACCAAGAAGATGGCCACTACAAAGACAAGGAAAGCAAGTGTATACTTGACTGCGCCCCAGATACGCTGGCCTGCAGTCTGCTCCCCATGCTCGGTCGCGTCCTCGTCGTATTCCTCGTACCAGAAGTAGGTAAAAGGAATCACGAGCAGACACAAGACTGCATCGAGGGAGTACAGCGTGTAGTAGACAATGCGCAACGTGTAGACGATGCTGTCGACCTTGTCTGGGGTGGCCCAGTCCTTCTTTTGGCCTAGACTTGATCTCGAGGTAGATGAGACGAGTGCGACGTCGACAGGGATAAGCAACACCGTGGCCAGCAAGGCGAGAGTGGTGAAGATGCAGACAATGGTGACGGAAGCAGCGCGTTCACTTGGCTTCTGGTAGACGTAGACGAAAGTCGAGGCGATCAGGAAGAGGATGCCTACTGCGATGGCGTAGGCCACCCAGATGAGGCTGGTCTGAATGAGCGCCATGGCTATTGTCGATGGTGCTGCCAAGACAGTCAGTGTCGGGTAGAGAAGGAGGATAGGAGTTTGGTGATCAAATGACGATCTAATTGTAAAGTAGCATACCTTCACTCTCAAGATCCCTCGCTAAACACGGGGAGGATTGGAGGAGAAGAAAAGCAAAAAGAAGAGGAATTGGAAGCGCAAGCCTGTTTGTTGCGCCGGACGAGGCAGCGACAGGAGGGAGCCATGACGTTTTGGCGAGGCGGGGATCATGGATCATCCATCATCCTTGCACATGTGACGGGCTAGAGCTGCCGTGGAAGGAGCCACAGTTGAGCCACAGAGAAGCCACAGTTGAGCCACAGGCAATGGCATACGCGCCTACCGAAAGCTACGTCTCTTGGCACATGGGGAGCTCTTTGAGCGCGTCGCAACCACCAAACCACACGAAATCGCGGCATTGTCTTGTCTCTGCCTGCAGCCTGCACACTGTCGCCATATCTGACCCTCCAATGCTATGACGGGGTAGTAACTTGGCGACACCGTACCAACCAAGATGCAGTGCTATACTGAGATAGCACCCCCCACGGCTGTTAGCCATGCCCTCAGCCTACCCTTTCTGTCCTCTAGGGCGCATAATCTGGTCGTCGCGAAGAATTCGCTGCTCCAGATCTTCGAAATCAAGTCGACCACCACCGAGGTGACTCCCGAGGGCGGCGACGAGGTGGACAATGCTGCTGCAAATCTGGACACGGAGGCGGCTGATGTGCAGTTCCAGCGTACAGAAAACACTGCAAAGCTGGTGCTCGTCGCCGAGTTTCCTCTGGCTGGCACAGTCATATCACTTGCGCGCATAAAAGCGCTGAATACAAAGTCGAGGGGTGAGGCGCTGCTGGTGGCGTTTCGGGACGCGAAGCTGAGCTTAGTCGAGTGGGATCCGGAGACGTACAACCTCCATACAATATCAATACACTACTATGAGAACCCAGACTTGCCCGGCATTGCTCCTTGGTCAGCTGACCTAAAAGACACGTACAATTTCTTGACGGCAGACCCCAGTAGCAGATGCGCCGCCCTCAAGTTTGGCACCCACAACCTCGCCATCTTGCCCTTCCGCCAGAGTGACCTTGTCGAAGACGACTACGATTCAGACCTGGACGGCCCACGGGATACCAAACCTGACCAAGCGGAGGCTCCCAGCGGCGGCGAGACTACACACAAAACTCCGTACTCGTCCTCCTTCGTTCTACCACTCACCAATCTCGATCCGACCCTCACACATCCTGTCCACCTCGCCTTCCTCCACCAATACCGCGAGCCCACCTTTGGCATAATTGCTGCATCGCGAGCCGCTGCACCCTCTCTCCTCGCCAATAGAAAAGACATCCTCACATACTCAGTCTTCACACTCGATCTCGAACAAAAGGCCTCTACAACACTACTATCAGTCACGGGACTGCCATATGATATCTCGCGGGTGGTACCACTCCCACATCCCATTGGAGGGGCTTTGTTGCTCGGGAACAATGAGATTATCCACGTCGACCAAGGAGGGAAAACCAATGGTGTGGCAGTCAATGAGTTTGCCAAAGCATGTACTTCTTTCCCGCTTAGCGACCAGTCAGATCTAGCCCTGCATTTAGAGGGTTGCAATGTTGAGCTTTTATCTCAAGATACTGGCGATGTTGTCCTTGTGCTCAACAATGGTCGTCTCCTCATCATGACTTTCACTTTGGAGGGACGCACCGTGTCTGGGATGACTATTCAGACTGTCGCAGCAGACCATGGTGGCCATGTACTTAAAGCCGGTTCTTCTTGTACGAGCAATCTTGTGAGAGGACGCTTGTTTATCGGAAGTGAGGATGGAGAATCAGTACTGTTAGGCTGGAGCAGCGCAACTGCTTCGCTGCGAAGGAGACACTCCAATGTAGGCTTGGACGGAGATGGGACTTCAGAGGAGGAGGAAGAGGATATCGATGATTTGGATGACGATCTCTATAACGACACCGCACCAGCTGTACAGAAAATCACGGCCGCCGCGTCGGAGCCCACACCTCCAGGAACCTACAGTTTCCGAATACATGACACACTGCCAAGTATAGCACCGATTCGAGATGCTGTATTACATCCAGGAAAAGTCACTGATTCTCTTAATAGAGGCGAGATTATGCTGTCAACGGGTCGCGGCGCAGCAGGTGCTATTACTGGCCTCGATCGTGAGTTGCATCCTGTCAGCCTTGCAGCGTCAGAGCTACCGTCTACACATGGCATCTGGGCCGTACATGCTAGGAAGCAGGCTCCCGGAGGTGTTGTCACCGCTTTTGGCGAGGATACGGAGGCGAACATGTCTACAGACGTAGACTACGATCAGTATTTGGTAGTGTCCAAGACTAGCGAAGATGGCAGCGAGAGCACTGTGGTGTATGAAGTCCATGGTAATGAGCTTTCGGAGACAGACAAGGGTGATTTTGAGCGGGAAGAAGGCTCTACCCTTTTTGTAGGCGTCTTAGCTGCTGGAACTAAGGTCGTGCAGGTGATGCGGACCGAAGTCAGGACATACGATTCAGGTAAGCTCTACAACAGTGTCATGCAGACAAGCAAGTAAGACTAATGCTTGCTACGCAGAGCTGAACATGGATCAAATCCTGCCTATGGAAGATGAGGAAACTGGTAACGAGCTTCGTGTAATCAACGCCAGCTTTGCGGACCCATATCTTTTGGTCTTACGTGAAGACTCCAGTGTCAAAATACTGAAAGCAAGTGGTGATGGCGAGCTTGAAGATCTCGAAGCTAGAGGGCTCTCGTCAACGAAATGGCTGTCGGCTAGCTTGTTTAAATCGGCGACCTTTACGGAAATCTTTGCGTTCTTGCTGACCCCAGAAGGAGGACTGCACATCTTTGCCATGTCAGAGCCGGAAAAGCCGTGTTATGTCGCTGAGGCTTTGGGCTTTCTTCCCCCTCTATTGACAGTAGATTTTGTGCCTAGGCGCAGTGCTGCCAAAGCAACAATCACTGAAATTCTCGCTGCTGATCTCGGTGACGTTACTACAAGATCGCCACACCTCATTGTAATGCTTCCTATCATAATGAATGTGTCATGAGCTAAAGATAACAGATACGAACTTCCAGCGATGACCTCGTCATCTACAAAGCGTTTCATTTCCCTTCACGATCGGCAGCTGATCTGTGGACGAAGAATTTGCGTTGGATCAAATTGGCTCAGCAACACGTCCCTCGATACGTCGAAGATGCCGGGTCGGAAGATGCAGGGGTTGAGAGCACTCTGTTAGCGTTGGATGATGTCTGCGGCTACAGTACCGTGTTCCAGCGCGGTGCATCTCCAAGCTTTATTTTCAAGGAGGCTTCTAGTTCGCCGCGCGTTATTGGGTTGAGTGGGAAACCTGTCAAAGGCTTGACCACCTTCCATACCTCATCCTGCGAACGAGGCTTCGCATACGTAGACTCCACTGACACGCTTCGGATCTCTCAGCTCCCCTCACGAACACATTTTGGACATTTAGGCTGGGCTACACGGCGGCTTCCCATGGATGCTGAAGTCTATGCTCTGGCTTATCATCCTGCAGGACTCTATGTCGTTGGTACAGGTCAGCCAGAAGACTTTGTGCTTGACCCGTCGGAAACATACCACTATGAGCTTCCCAAGGAAGACATTAGCTTCAAGCCTAGTGTGGAGCGTGGTGTCATCAAGCTTATCGACGAGGGGACTTGGTCCATCATAGACACACACGTTTTCGATCCTCAGGAGGTGGTTCTCTGTATCAAGGCGTTGAATCTCGAAGTGTCAGAAACGACCCACCAACGCAAGGACCTGATCGCAGTGGGCACATCCATCGTGCATGGCGAAGACCTCGCAACAAAGGGCTGTATACGCATCTTCGAAGTCATCACCGTCGTACCTGAGCCTGATCGTCCAGAGACTAACAAGCGTCTCAAGCTTATCGTCAAGGACGAAGTCAAAGGTGCGGTCTCGGCCATTTCGGAACTCGGAACGCAAGGCTTCTTGATTATGGCTCAAGGACAGAAATGCATGGTGCGAGGTCTCAAGGAGGATGGAACTCTGCTACCCGTCGCTTTTATGGACATGCAGTGTTACGTGACAACCTTGAAGACGCTACCGAACACAGGTATGTTGTTGATGGGCGATGCGTACCGTGGAGTCTGGTTTACCGGATATACTGTAAGTCAACCACACGCGCTCGGCGCTATAACTCGAAAGGCATATCTTAACGTCATAATAGGAAGAGCCATACAAAATGTCCCTCTTCGGCCGCAGCAAGCACAACCTCGAAGCCATGGCGGTCGAATTCCTTCCCTTCAACGGTGAACTCCACATCATCGTCGCAGACGCAGACATGAACATCCAAGTTCTCCAATTCGACCCCGAAAGTACGTCTTGCCATGTCATATTACCTCCCTCTTGCCTCCCTTCAGACCAACCAGCTAACCCTAACCGCCTCTAGACCCCAAATCCGAAGGCTCCCGCCTCCTCCACAAAGCCACCTTCCACACCGGCCACTTCCCCACAACAACCCACCTCTTACAATCCCATCTCCAAATGCCAGAATCAGCATCCACATTTGGCACAACCGACACCTTCGCGCCCGACTCGACTCCCTCCGCTCCGCTACCCCTGCACCAAGTCCTCATAACATCCCAATCAGGTACCCTAGCCCTCATCACCCCGCTTTCTGAATCCTCCTACCGCCGTCTTTCCAATCTAGCTGCTTACCTCATCAACACCCTCGAATCGCCTTGCGGTCTCAATCCCGTTGCGTTTCGCGCGGGCGAGGGAGTAGAGGGCGGGTGGGATGCTGGGGGTGGGGCGAGAGGCGTGTTGGATGGTGGGCTGTTGATGAGGTGGGGGGAGTTGGGGGAGCAGAGGAGGAAAGAGGGGTTAGCGAAGTATGGAGGGGATGAATGGGGCTTTGGGAGCGAGAGGGAGGTGCTGGCTGGGTGGGGGGTGTTTGGGGGGAGACACTCTTAGCGGAGCTGGAGGTGTAAGTTGCATGAGAGAGGTGGATAAGTACGGGTGTGTGGTGGTGCGCAGCTAAGGTAGATTATAATATTTATGTCAATAGTGAACGGACACTACTAGCATCCACAAAGCAATGCAAACTAGACAGGCTAAACAGCCAAAAGATAAAACACACTAATAGTCCTATCAACTTATCAAACCAGCACATTCCCAACTCCGCCAATTCCAACCCTTCCACACCTGCCGTTCCTTTGCCTTTCCCAACCCACACCCCCTCCCCCATCCAAGACATGCAAACTAGACCAGAAACACGACGCCAACGCTAGCCCAGTCCAGTGCCACCTGTGTCCAAATCCTGGATTAGCTCAAGTGTATGATGGAAGTCACGGCTTGAGCACAAGTGCTCTTCGACCTGCTTCATGGTAGCGAGAAACACCTCGAACATCATCCTCAAAAGGTAATCTTCTACGCTCAATGGAGCTATGGCCCAAAACAGCATATCCCCCAACCTCTTCTCGAGCACGTCAAATTGGCTCCGAAACTGATGATTACCTCATAACCATTACTAAGACTATCACTACGACTCCTATCATACACACCCCAATCAAAACAAGCCCAAACTTGGAGAAACCCAAACAAAGGAAAACCCGGCTGTCCAAGCCATAGACGCATACGAATCGAGGAAAAGCCGAGAAACGGTGTAGCTACTACCGCATCTCATGTTCCTTTCAGATCCGCGCGTGATACATGTCCAATCATACAAAATGATGCGCCCTCGCTTTCCCTAGCTTCCAAAAAAACTTGCCTTGAAGAAAGGAGAAAGGGAAAAGGAAAACAGTAAATCGCTAAAACAGAAAAAGAAACGTAAATCGAGTTTTTTGGAGGAGAAAGATATCAGCAGTATACCACCGCTCTCCTTAGTCTTCTTGTTTTTTCGTGCTCGTGGACGCAACGGTAATGGCCGGGGGGCGTAGATGGGTAAGTCGGAAACGTTCGGGGCTTTCAGACCCCCCGATCTTCCAGTCCGAATCGCTTTCGATGTACCGTGGTGACCCCAGGCGTGTGTGTGCGTAATGTCGTAGTTTTATGCCGTAGACGAGAAATAAACAAGGGTAAAAGAAGTGCCGCGGTATCCGTGATATCCATGATCCCCATGCTCTGCGAGTGCAAATTCAATGCCATGTTAGAGAAAAAACAAACCAATAAACATTATCCTCCTCGTTTTCCCCATTCAACATAACCCCTTTTCAGTCCACCTTCTCTTCTCTTACTTCTTCCCCAATAATCCGCCGACAAGCGGGATATTACTAGCTCCACTCTTCTTCTTCTTGTCCTTGCCTCCATTCAGCATATCCTGTACACTGCCCAGCCCCAAGCCGCCCAGCAACTTATTAATTCCCAGACCACCCAGCAAGCCATTCACCAACCCGCCCAAACCCAGGCCATTCAGCAGTCTGCCCACGAGATTCAACACACCCGTAAGCAACAGGCCCACGGCTGCGATAATCTGGAACAGCGGCTCGGTCAGCAGACTCCAGAGCGGGTTGAGCTTCTTCTTTGCGTGAGGCATGTCCGCGATCTTCTTCTTGGCGTTGTCGATGGTGGTGACGACGCTGGTGGTGAGTTCTTTGAGGTTGTCGGCGAGTTTGTATTCTTCGGGTGAAGCTTCACCGGTTTGTTGGCGGCCTTTGGCTTGTGCGGCGATGCGGCCGTCGGGGTCGAGGCCGCGGAGGGAGCCGTTGCATTCGTTGAGGATGCGGGAACCTTCTTCGATGAGGGGCTTGACGTTGTTGACGAGCTCTTCTTCGTCGAGTTCGTCGCGGGGAGTGCGGTCAGCTTGTTCGATGTACTGTGGAGATTGTTAGCGGACCGGTTTCTACAATGCTAAGGAGTGATGAATGGGAATCGGCAGCGTACCTCTGTGATCTGTTTCATGACAGGCTGAACGCGTTCGAGAGTCTGCTGGCAGATTGCGGACATCTTGTTTGCAAGATCGCGGTCCTCGCGCTTCTGCTTCTCCTCTTCGGTCTCATCTTCGGGGATTTCTTCTTCTTCCTCTTCTTGAATGTTCTCAAGAAGAGTGACTTCTCCAACCTTGTTGCCGTCATTGTCGACGACGTAGCCGTTGTCATCAATCTCAAGACCAGAGCAGTGACCGAGATCACCAGCCGTGAGACGACCGATAATGTCGCCATTCTGATCGCGCACTTCACCCTCCTTGTTGACGCGCATGCCAGACATGGGGTTGACGCGGCGCTCTTTCTCTTCTGGCTCCCAGCGCTCAGCCTTACCGATGACATTACCATTCTTGTCGTTGATGTCGCCGTCCTCATCGACCTTGTGGCCGACGAGCTTCTTGACGTCGCCTTCAGTGATGCGACCGATGATGGAACCATCAGGAGTTTGGACCGTGCCATCCTTAGCAACGGTAGCAGAGTCGAAACCAGCAAACGGCCCCTCAGGACCACCAGCATAGCCATGGACGAGCTCAGCTTTGCCGATAACATTGCCCTCATTGTCCCAGATCTGTCCCTTGCCGTCGACCTTCTTGCCTACGAGGGTGGCAGCATCGCCCTCAGCGACACGTCCAAGGACAGTACCGCTAGAGTCGACGACATTGCCAGCCTTATTGACAGTACAGCCAGCAAGCGCGCTCAGATCAACCTCCTGTTGCTCCTCTTCCTCCCATGGCTCAGCGTGACCCTTGACGTTACCGTTCTTGTCAAGAATGTCGCCATCTTCATCAACAGCATGGCCGACAAGCTTCTTTGCGTCACCTTCGGTGATCTTACCAACGCGGTTGCCATCGTTGTCTTCAACAAATCCATCCTTGACTACACGAAGACCTTCGTATCCGCCAAATGGACCTTCTTCTTTGGTAACACGCTCGTTGTCGGGAATAAGCTCGCAACGGCCAACGACCTTGCCAGTGTCACCGTGGATCTGGCCTTCGCCATCCGACTTACGACCAGCAAGATCCTTGACGTTGCCTTCGACGAGCTTACCAACTTGGTTACCATTACTGTCAACCAGGAAACCTTGCTTGTTCAGCGTGAGTCCGTCCAGGATGGATAGATCTGGAGCCTCCTCCTGAATTTCTTCCTCTTCTTCAACTGGCTCGGCGTGGCCCTTGACGTTGCCATATTTGTCGAGAATGTCACCATCCTCATCAACAGCCATGCCAACCAGACGCTTGGCATTTCCTTCAACAATCTCACCAACAACATTCCCATCGTCATCAGCGACCTTGCCACCTTGGATGACACGGAGGCCATTGAGACCTGCAAATGGTCCCTCAGCCTTGGCTTCACGCTGGTCAAAGGGGATGAGCTCGCAGCGACCAACAACTTCACCCTGGTCGTTCCAGATCTGGCCTTCCTTGTCGATCTTCTTGCCAGCAAGCTCCTTGGGATTACCCTGAACGAGACGACCGATTGGTACGCCCTCGTCGCCAATGACATTGCCCTGCTTGTTGACAGTCCTACCAGCAAGACTGGAGAGGTCCAATGGATCCTCCTCTTGAGGCTCCTCGACCTCCTCCTCAGGCTCCTCGTAGCGCTCAGCATGGCCAACAACTGAGCCCTTCTTGTCGAGAATATCGCCGTCCTCATCGACAGCGCGTCCGACGAGCTTCTTGGCGTCACCCTCAACAATCTTTCCGACACGATTGTTGTTCTCGTCCTCGACGAAGCCATCCTTGACGACAAGCAAGCCTTCAAGGCCAGCAAATGGCGATTCCTCTTCTACGTCTTCCTGGGGTACTGTCTGGGCACGGCCGATGACGTGACCCTTGTTGTCCCAGAATTGGCCTTCAGCATCACATGTCGTCTTCGCCTTGGAAAGCTTCTTAGCGTCACCCTCGGTGAGCTCACCAACAATGTCTCCGTTGGCGTTGATGAGCTTTCCAGATTTGTTGACGGTAAGTCCCTCAAGGATTGAAACAGGTGGGCGGCCATCTTCGTCAAGTTCCTGTTCGCCATCCTCGGCGGCATCCTGGGCGTCTTCGGCGGCGTCTTCGGCGTCCTCCTTGGCCTCTTCAGCATTCTCAGCGGCCTCTTCAGCTTCGCCGACCTTCTGCTCAACAATCTTGGGAAGTGTCTTGACCTTTCCGATGACCTTGCCGTTCTTGTCGACAACTTCTCCATTCTCGTTGATCTTCTTACCAGCACACTCAGAGGCCTCGCCCTCGACAAGCTCGCCGGTAGGTTCACCTTCCTCATCAAGGACTTGGCCCTTCTTGTTGACCTTCAAGCCCTCAAGCTCGTCGATCTCAGGAGTGACCTCAACCTCTTCATACTCTGGCTCTACTTCTTGCTCCTCCTCCTCGTCGACCTCGATGGTTTGCGGGAGAGCCTTGACTTTACCAAGGACCTTGCCATCTTTGTCAACTACCTCGCCATTTTCATTAATCTTCTTTCCGGCGCAGTCTTTGGCCTCTCCCTCAATGAGTTCGCCAATGGGCTCGCCATCTTCATTGAGAACTTGACCTTTCTTGTTGACTTTGAAGCCTTCAAGTTCGTCAATGTCGGGAGTGACTTCCTTGGTCTTGGGCTCAGCATCTTCCACCTCGCCCTCAACCTCCTCCTCAACCTCTTCAGCGTTCTCCTCAGTCTCACCAAGACGGTCCTTGAGCTCCTTGATCGCTTCGAAAGCAGCTTCTCCGGCAACAACATCAACTTTGCCAATGACGTTTCCTTCTTTGTCAAGGACCTCGCCCTTGTCATTGAGGATCTTGCCAGCGCAGTCCTTGAGCTCGCCGTCCTTGAGTTCACCGATTTCCTCGCCTTCGGCATCAAGAACCTTACCCTTCTTGTTAACCTTGAGACCGTCAAGGATCCTGGTGTCAAGAGCACCGGCAGCAGACTCCTTGAGCTTGTCGGCAGCGCCCTCAGCAAGTTCTACCTTGCCCAGAACCTTGCCTTCAGAGTCGACGACCTCACCCTTGTCGTTGACGGTGAGACCCTTGACGTCTTCGATATTTTCGAGATCGCCATCTGCAATGTTGCCGACGACCTCTCCATCATCGTTTAGGATTTCACCTTCAGTGTTGATCTCCATGCCCTCGAGGGCTTCGACACCAGGTAGCTCCTCCTCAACTTCTTCTGCCTTTTCCTCAACACCATCCTTGGCGCCTTCTGCGGTCTCCTCGACACTGTCTTTGGCGTCGGCGGCTTTGTCAGCAATGTCTTTGGTGGCGTCGCCCTCGCCCTCATCATCATCTTGTTGATAGGTGGGGAGGTCGGCAACTTCCGGGTCAAGTTCAGCACGAGCAATGACGTTGCCGTCATCATCAACAATCTCTCCATCCTCGTTGAACTCCTTACCCTGAACCTCTGATGGATCTCCATCAACAAGATGACCAACAAAGTCGCCATCCTCGTTGATAATTTGACCAGAGCGATCGGCAGTAAGTCCCTTGAGAATATCAATGTCAGGCAGTTGAGGACTATCCTCATCATCCTTCTGGAGCTGCTTCGCTGCGAACTCGGGCATGAGTTCGCAGCGGCCAACGAGATCGCCATCGTCATCGAGAATCTCGCCGTCGTCGCCAATGGGGTATCCAGCAAGGTCTTCGGCGTCACCTTCGACGAGACGTCCAATGGTGTTGCCATCCTTGTCCTTGATTTGGCCCTCCTCATCAACTTCGAGGCCCTTCAAGACGCTGAGATCGGGGGTAGCATCTTCGACGGCATCTTCAGTCGATTCCTTGACATCATCGGCAGAGTCTTTGGCTTCTCCAACCTTCTCGTCTGCATCATCGGCGGCGTCTTCTACCTGGTCTTTGGCGCCCTGGGTGGCATCCTGTGCCTTGTCTTGGACATCTCCAGTGGCATCTTGTGATTTGTCTTGGATGTCCTCAGCGGCATCCTCGGACTCTTCTTCAACATCCTCGGCGGTGTCATCGACTTGATCTTTGGCACCCTTGGTGGTACCTTTTACCTTATCCTGAGCGTCCTTAGTCTTGCCTTGAGCACCTTCGGTAGCATCTTCGTCTTCGACAGTGTCATCGACATCAGAAGCTACATCTTCCGCTTCGGGCGCCACATCACCAGCCTTATCTTTGACACCACCAGTAGCATCCTCAGCGGTGTCCTTTGCAGACTTGGCCGTCTCCTGAGCACCCTCGGTTGCATCCTCAGCAGTGTCCTCAACAGACTCGGCGGTATCTTCAGCACCCTCCTTTACATCGTTGCCAGCCTCCTTTACGGCTCCCTTGGGATCCTGCGAAGCCTTGCCGGCTAGATTCGAGGCTCGGCCGGCGAGCCCACGAGCGCCGCTCAGTGCACCTCCACCAGCCTGCTTGCCGGTGTCAGCAGCCTTGCTGGCGGTTTCTGTTGCATCATCGGCGGTGTCATCGGCGGTGTCTTCCGCTGTATCTTCAGCGTCGTCACCGGCTTTTACTGTGGCATCGTCGCCCTCAGCATCGGCGTCCTCGTCCTCGCTGATGGGCTTGGGCTCGGTTTGTTCGAGCTCGTCACCAGCTTGTGATACTTTGCCGGTGGTTTCCTCTGTGGTGTCTTCTGCGCCTTTCTTGGTGTCCTCAGCAGCATCTTGTGCTGTGGACTTGGCGTCTTCCGTGGTATCTTCTGCCTTCTTCTGGGTGTCTTCTGCAGTGTCTTGCGCCTGCTTCTTCGTGTCTTGCAGCTTCTCCTCACCTTGCTGCTTAGTGTTCTCTCCAACCTCGGATGGGTCGTTGACAAGGGTCTCCTGTGACTTTGATTGAGGCTTGTTGAGCTTTGATGCAACTGATTGTGGCTTTCTTCCGAGCTTAGTTGGAGTGCGGGGGGCTTCACTCTTTCCTGCAGCTGGGGAAGGCATATTGGGCGTGTCGTTTGATTTATCGTGAGGTTGTCGTGAGTTACTTGGACTGGGGGCTGACACGTTACTTGAGATGGAATGTGAACGTGTCGAACGGGGGGATTTCCTATTAGGTGTCGGGGGAAACGAGTAATAGACGTATGAGTTAGCTGAGTAGACGGGCATGTATCAATTGACGAATGGGTCGCCTTTGTAGAGAAAATTGAATCGAGTTTGTAGCATGCGAAACAGCAGGCATTTATGAGATGAGACGGGAAGCAATGTTCAGTTTGGCACGAATGACGTCGATTCTAAGGCTGGATAGGCATACTACAGGGGGAGCTCACGCCTCAGTGTTGCTTGCTTGTATGGACAGCATAAACCTGCTTTGGCGTCGTGATGTAGACTGTGTGTGACAGAGTACGATGAACCAGAGGAGCATTGCGTCACTTGCTCCAATCTGGAGCGGGGCGAGGTGTCCAATCTTGGTGGGTTGGCTCCACAACGCAAGAGTAAGACAAGCAGGCGAAGGTACAGCAGGGGTAGATGAACTATGGCTGGGCTTGCTGTGAGTGGCATCGTCGATGGCCGCGGAGAGCGGGCGGCTGCCAACTTGGGAGGTGTAGGATGCATGGCTAGGGGACGGTGGAGCTGAAACCCTTTGGAAAATACCATCGGAACGGTGGTGCTGACAGCATGCGTGGTGAAGGACATGAACTGGTCGCCTGTTAGCTCTTGCTGGGAGCCATGCCATGAACTGCCACTGCGTCTGGAATCAAGAGAGACGGCCGGCTGCCAGGCAATCCAGTCCAACTCAGGAGGAGATGACAGCCCGCATTTCGCAACTGAAAATACCCTCTTCAGTGGAACAGGCTGCAGAGGTGGTGAAGCAGATGCAGGCGAGCCATCCAGGCCCGATCGACGACATTGTGGCTGCCATCTCCACAGTCGGTGGCAATCGAGGCGGGCAACCCTGAGACGGCCATGATGCCCTTCCTATCAAAAGGGTGTGTAATACAGGATGCTGGAGCAGGCTGTGCCGTGTTGTCCAAGAATCAGGTTGCAGCAACAGATTTGCCATGTCCAAGAAGACGGACATGACGTAGGCGTGCTGGGATGTGCCCATGTCCAAGGGCTTTTCCTCAACCCCTGCCGCTGTGCCACTTGGACTCGGGTGGCGTAAATAAGTCTCTCGCTTCCACCCTCTTTGCATCTCACAAGAAAGGTTCACATCGGCAGCCTGGGAACGATAGCGGGGCTTCTATCGTGGAGATCAGCCCAGGAACAGCAAGGCTTCGTCAACGGGTCCCAGGGGTGCCGTACTCTATAACCTCGACTGCGGTATTGTCAAGTACTTCGTAACCACAACGCCACGGCCAGACCAACACCACGTCCGAAGCGACAGCTGCTGGCCACCGTTTCGAATCGATCAACGCGCGGGCTACTAGGCTACCGTAGTTCCGCAGCAGATTAAAGTAGAAGGATCGAAGCCACGAGCGCGTGTCTGATACAGCAAGTCTGCAACTTTGCACAACGCTAGCCAGCCCGTTCTTGAACACCCTCACACTACACTTCTTTCACTCGAGCCGAAAAGGCTGCTGTATCACGTACCGTCCGATTCTCCATTTTGACTTTCGCATGGTCACCGTCACCATCTCATTTCCCATTCATTGACCCCTGCGTACATCAACGTCCTATCCCATCCCACCCCATAAAAACAAAACCTAGACTTCGAACAACTCTCCAAAGACACACACATACGTTGCTCCAGAGTACAGTACATATCTACCTAACCATGACAACACAAAACAAAATGATGTAAATATAAATCCAAGTGGGGAAACCCGAGACGAAACACCCCCCGTAATAAAGTGGAGAAAACAGGGCACCATCAACCCTCCTCGGTTCCAGAATGCCCCTTCTCCCCCCAAAACCTGCTTTCCCTCGGTTCCTGGCAAGGGAAACAGAAAAAAACTAGTCCAAATGTTCCGTCAAAGTAAACTTTAGGCGAGTCGCGAACAAGCGGGATCGCTATTTCTCTCTCTCTGTTTGTCGTTCTTGTTGGCCGCGATGGTGGCGTACCGGTAATGATACTAGTTAATGAGCGGGCTGGTGATCTGGCTTGATCGCTGTGTTTTGCCTGAAATCATGAAATGGTAGTCATAACATTATAGGTAGAGAGGGTAGTTTTTTGATACATGATGCTGAATTCTGAAGTGGAGCGTATTTAGTAATGTCCCCTCATTGTTCAACGGGTATGCAAATGCAAATGCAGAAAGATGCAAAATGACTAAAATAACACAAATGTCACACTGTAATAATGGCGAATGGGGTCATGCAGGAACCGATTCACTGGCGCTCACGTAGGCTGATCCTTTGGATCCATCTCATCCCGCGTCCCCTCGGGTGGTATGGACGATTCCACATCCTCGCCTGGCTTACTCAACACCTTCTTCCTCTTCTGCTCCTTGGCGTCCTCAAGCTGCTTTGGCGTCAGTCCGTCCCTCTCCTTGTCAATTGTGCCACTGCGGCTGACTTTTCTCCATATCCGACGAGAGAGGCTCCGTTCCTTCTTCTCGGCTTCCCGTCTCTCTGCTTCTTGGGCGAGGATCTGGCGCTCGCGCTGTGCACTTTCGCTTTTGTCTTTTTGCTCTTCAACTTTGCGCTCGTGTTCTTCGGGGTGCACGACCTTGGTTTCCATTTCTTTGGCGTGGCCGATGCCGTGTTTGAACTTTCGCCGCGTCTTGACGTAGGCTTCGAGACCGACGAGGACCGCGTAGGAGCGGGAGATGGATACACGCGACATGTCGACCCCGTTTTCATTGAGAGAGTGCACAAATGCGCGGAAGTTCTTGGACGGCGGGCGATAATGGCCCGAGAGCGGAGACAGTTGGCGAAGTTGACCATCCTTGATCTTGATCAAGCCCGCAGCTGATATGCGCGCCCCTTGCAGGAACGAACTATGTTGAAAGGCGCCCGACTGTTTGATACCAATGTAAAGCCGAAACGAGGTATCAGCGACCTGTCGCAGCATTAGCTTTGCGAAGATATTCAATTAACCATGTGACGTACAAAGATCCATGAGTTTGGCTTCACCGAGCCCCGCAGCAGATGATTGAGAATGGTGGCTGCTGATACATGCTTGATCTTGGCCAGACCTTTGGCTTTGTCCAGATCCTCATTGACGTAATGCTCTGCCTCCACATGGCTTTCGTCACCCGATGAGCTTGACCGGGAGGACATGGAAGTTCTCTTGATCGTCTTGCTTTGCCCACCCAGCATATTCCCGTTGGGTCCGAATGCGGGCGTGGGGTCATCAACGGGTACTATACCATTTACGCTATCCTTGTAATCCGTGGTACTGCTGATGCGTTCGCCATTCTTCGCCCAACATAATCGGCCTTCCTTGTCAATCGTAACAAGGTAGTTCAGTCGCTCTTCTCGTGAGAGATAGCGGACGCGCTCCTTGTCCAGCCTTTCTCTCGACACGGTGGGGTGCTCAAAGTTCCGCCCTTCGCCCTTGTCCAGCCAATGGAAGAAGTTTTCCCGTGTTTCTGACCTCTTCCATTCGTCATGGTATGCGCGTAGATTGCTGCCATAACGGTGCTTGTGGTCTACCATTTCCAGGAAGTATTGCAGGTCCATCATCTTAGCAGACTTCTCTCGCTGAGCCCGTCTTTCCCCCGACTTCCTTCGCTGCTCTGTCCAGTCTTCAGGCCCATGCTCTTGGTCTGATTCTGACTCGTTGTGAGGGTCGTCAGCGCCTGCCCGTCTTGCTATTTCGCCCACTCGTTTCCATGTTTGGCGTGCTGCAATCGAATTGGCTCGTTTTCTTTCTTCGGGACTGCTGGCTTCCCCGCGTGCTAACAGTTGTTCTGAGCGTGACTTCGGGAGTGTCGTGTTGTGCCATTTGGCTTCAGGGTTTAGCATGGCGCACAGTAACGTGAATACGGGTGTGGGTGTGCTAACCGTCGCGTAGAGCCTATATTATATCCGTGTCAGGTGATGACCTCCTACCTATATGAAGACATTCACAGAGCCTCATTCATACCTCTGCCCAGCGTGCACTGGCATCCAAGCCCATGCCCTGCAGCTGTCGTCGCTCTCTGTAGCCACGATAGTTGCGCTGGATCATCTCGGCCGCCTGCTTCTGCTCCGACGCGCTGAGGACACGCGCCCCGGGGGCAGCATCGCCTTGCACCTCGGCCATGCTGGAAGAAGCGTGTTGTCTACAGGTGCAAGTCCAGGCATTGGGCAAGTCAGCTTTCCGACTGCCGGATAGGCGGCGAGGGTTGAGAGCGGCACCTCCCACCACGGCTGTAGTTCAGAGCTTAGTCAGCCCCGAGGACCCCGTTCTCCCTCCCCCCGGCAGGTACCGGTACAACGTCATGGAGCAGGAACATGAATGGCCACGCGAACGTCACAATCACGCTTTCAAAACCAGTCGAAGAGTCCCATCGATGGCTGTCAGAACAACATGCCTAATCTTAGATGTTCAGAGTCCAAAGTAAAGTGGTTGGAAGCTAGCCAAGAAGGCCTGTCACAGCGTACATTCTTTCACTTCTCAGAGGTTTCACCTTATTGAATGAGCATGTCTAGCTCATCTGGTATGATCTCGAAAGAGGTAATTCCGGGACATGGGGTTTTGAAACAAGGACGTGATTATAGAGCAACAACACGTCAGACACGTTTTCACTTTGGAGTCTCCCTTCATTCTTCCCTATGTAATCTTCCCAATCCCCAAACCAGTTCAACATTTCGAGTCTCCACTGTCCAAAAATCCCCCTTCCCCCATTCACAAATCATCCAACAACCCTCCATTTATTCTCCATCAATTCATTGCTCTCAATACACCCCTCATCAATCAACTTCCTAACCGTCTCCGTCCCATACACCGGCAACTTAATCTCGACCTTCTTCCCTGCCTCAACCCCCTCCACCGGATATGGCCACGTCACCCACTCTGGCAGCAACCCCAACTGCTTCAGCGCAGTAGCCTGGTCCCAGCTGATATGCTCGTGGCACAGGCGGTCTCCCCGCATCTCAACGATGGAGGTGAATGGCAATTCGATTTTCAGACCCGAGGGCGGGATGCCTGGTAGCAGCCAGGGGACTTCGGACGTGTGGGTGAAGGAATATATCATTTCATCAATCACGCGCGAGGTGCCGAGGGTGCGGGAGACCATGGTTAGAACGGTGTCTGGGGGGTTTGAGAAGATGAAGTGGTGGGTGTAGAAGGCTGTCAGCTTTTTTTGGCCGACGCCGCCACTGCGGTTGGTCAGTTTGGGGAGAACCTTGTAGTAGAAAGTAAGCGGGCAAACATACGTCAAAGTAGGAATATGATTCACGTATGGTTGGTCCACCATGGTCGCCATAGTTTTTGGTACACTTCTCCCATCAAATTCATAATGCAAGTGCTCTTCCCATACGGCCTCGAGATCAAAATACGGTCCATTGAGCAAGGGCTTCAAGAACTCCAGGCTTCTCGAGTGCGCAATATGTGCGCTACGCCCGTGGTAGTTTTCGTCACTCGGTAGCACCCAGTTCGTGTCGCGCTTTGCGTCTTCGTATCGGTACGTCTTAACTACGCCCTGGGGCGCGGGCGCCGCAGAATCTGGCACTGTGGAAACAGACTGACGGCGGGGAACTTCTGCTCCCGCGGCGTGGATTAGCTGTGGAGGGAGAGAGGTCATTGCGGGGCTATATGTGATGAAGTTTCTTCCGCCGTAGGAGATGAGCGCTTTGATGTCTGGGCTTTGGCTGGCGGCTTCTTCGACGTAATATGGAGTACGGGATACATAGGCTGTTTGCTCTGGTCAGCGACGGTGTCCTTCATTCTTCATTCCACCTCTTTTGCTTCTTTTACACATCGCCTTTTCCCGAGCGTGTAAATGCATTCCCAGCACGCAAAGTCGCAACACTTAAGCCAATGTAACAGCGAGAAGAAGTGCCTACAGATCAATCCAACCCCCTTCTCAAATTCACATCCCTCGCACCCTTTCAATACATCCAGCGCCTTCTGCAGCGGGAATTCACCTCCATCTTCAACCTTGCCCGGCACCAGAAGCTAGCCTGCGTCAGCGCACCCACTTCCATTATCAAATACACATCACCTCAGAAATCCGTATTGAGACATACCTGGACAATGGCGAATCCCTCCTCAGCCCACTTCTTCAACGGCGGAGGATCCAAGTATTTTTCATTCGGCTGTATCTGCGCATAATGATCCAAGACAAGTACTAGCCCTGGTCCTCGCCCACGCCGTGAGAGCGGTGCTTGGAGGGTAAGGTTGGAGGAAATGACTTGGGGAGCAGGGTAGCTGATAGTGCCATCCTCATGAATGGTGGTGACAGTAACTGAAGGGGGTTTGTTGGTAGAAGGAGGGGTAACTGCAGCGCCGCCCATGGTTAGTAGCGCAGCGTGAAACTTTACGGCAACCTTGCTTTGGCAAGAAAAAGAAAACGAATACAATAAAGATACGTGAGTGTACAAGTAGTGCGAAAATCTGTTGGATTTGCAAAAACCGAAATGGAGAAAGATAAATGGATATAGGGCAGTGTGTCAAGCTCCGGGCACAAGCGGCAATTGGGGCGTACACCCATATCCGATACCGAAGCATATCAATCAACTGTGGGGTAAAGCCGGATCTTTCGACGGACGAATATTCCCAACCTGGTAGTCAGGCAACTATGCCCAACGTGTGCAACAACCCGAAAGTATGTATATTGGTAGTACTCGAGAGCGCTGCTGCAGTTGTTTGCATTACACGACAGACACCCCCGCTTATCCTGTTGCGGGAGCTCGTGCTTGCGATGATCTTCGGGATGAGCGGTGGATGCCTGGGTCGCAAGTCGCACATAATGCCACATTCCTATCACTAAGGGAATCCTGTAAAGGTAGAGTATTTCAGATCATGGGGCTAAATTGAATTCTCATGACTTTCCGCTATGATCGGGAGAGGGATACGGTAGGCGGGCAGTCGGGTTTATCTGTCGGCTCGCATCCTTGTCGAAGTTTAACGACGGCAGCCGTAACTTGGTCAAACTCAGCCTTTGATTTGTAAACTTTACTAGACATACAAATCAACATGCCGATGCCCTGTAGACGGTCGGAGCTGGGGATGAAGTTACACATGGTCATAAGCGGGTTGTTGTGCGGGGTATGCATTGGCAATTGATAGAACTTTGTTGACTGCGCCTTATATCCTGTATGTCCACAGCGTATGCATATTGCGCAGATATCCGCGAATCTTCAATTGGACTGTCTTACAGGATGAATGCTTTGAATGTTACAGGCATGCGTGAGCTTTGTAAAGTTAGTCCATGTCCACCAGCTTCGATAGCGACTTTAATCGTCATGTTAAGTTAACAGTTCCAATGACCATCCAATCCTCGCCGCTGCAATCCATCTCAAGGATTATATCATTTTCAGGCGGCCGGTGCTTGTTCTGGCATGCTGTTCTCCCAACGGGGAGAAGACGGAGCGGAAGTGAATTCAGATTCAGTTCCAGAGTCAGGCTCATAATGAAGTGGCTCCTCGGTATGGTCCATTCCTGTAGGGCGCTGGTCAATCAAGGCTTGCATATACTGCTCCCGCATGCGGCCCTCGGGATCAGGATGAAGCATCTCGGGTGTTAAATCATCACGGCTAGTGGACAAGGTATTGTTGCCCACAGGACCTTGTGTTAGATTCGGGGTGGAGGGAACCGAGGATGCATCTGGGGTGGTCTTTCGTTTTGTTCGGATTGAATTGATAATTGATTTAATAAGCATATACAGCGGTCGAGGTATACACAAGCACAAGGCCACGAAAATGTTGAGCATTTCTAAGGGCAATTGTCCTATGGCTAGGATCCAGACTAGGCAAGCATTGGTTGTCGAACGCTTCCTGAGTTCGATCCAGACAGATCTTCCGATTGCCACGATCCAAGGAATCCAAACGGAGGACATGACCTGATCCTGAACCCTTCTAATGACGAAGTTGGAAACCGCAAGCCCCCAGAAAAACCAGGCCGTTTTTTCCGCAATTCTCAAGGGTGTGAAGAGCTTTCGAATAATGGCCTTCCCGGTGACGAGAATCCAGGAAAGTTCCATGAGACTTTGCACAAAGTGCCCTAACGAAAGTGGAAACGAAGAGTGTCTTTCGACTAGGGTGGTCGATCCGTGTACGCCTCCTTCCTCTGCGGCCTCGAAATGGACGGGATGGCGACGTAATGCAAATTCGCAAAACCTAGCCCTGAGAAAGTCGTGCCTCTCTATCTCTTCTTCCGCTGCAAACCCTTCCAACTTCGCCTTATTCCTTCAGTACGAAGTCGGCGATCTCCTGATCCTTCGCAATGGCTTGGTCAATTCCCAACTCGGGCACGATGTTCCAGTTTGGGTAACCCAGAAGCTGAACAAATCCGATTGTTTCTTTTTGTCAACGAAAGTAAAACCTGTGCCTGAGAGGTCCGGTCCGCGTTAAGTTAAATTAATGTCGGGGGGATGGGGCAGGAGAACGAGTAGTAGAAGTGTTGTGTTCCGTCTGGAGACTGGATATGCTATGATGTTTCGTAATGCTGTATGCTATAAAACGTGGGCGAGACGTGAGTTCGCGGAATGTTAGCAATGTTGTTGAAGTAATCGTGTCAACTAGCAGCGTAGCCTGAGCTATTTTCCCATACCACAACTCGCCTGCCACGACCGCTTTGTGACGGCTGTCGCTACGGTGAAACAGAAGGTTTGAGCCGCTTGAGAACAGTCGCAGCAGTAGCAATCGCTTGTTCGGGAAGGCCTAGTTCACTTTAGCCTTGCTAAATAAGGCACATAGAACATGGTCATACTTACCGGCAACTCTCGCAACCTTCAGGGCATGACTTTCCCGATTGACGCCCCTTCGCAACCGATGCACATACGAAAATTTCCCGTCTGGCTCTTCAAGAACATCGTTACAATAGCATCCTAGTTGTTCAAAATCATTTGTCATGTCGGCGAGTGCATGGAAGTGCGTTGCGAACAGTGTCCGGCATTGATTCACATGGTAGAGATGATGGAGGCAGGCGTAGCTCACAGCGATGCCGTCTTCAGGTGTCGTTCCCCGTCCTACCTCGTCCATAATCACGAAGGAGCGGGGGGTCGCTTCCTTGAGGATCTGGGCAGTCTCCAGCATTTCGACCATGAATGTAGACTGGTCTTGGTATAGGTTATCTGCTGAACCAACACGACTGAATATCTTGTCTACCAGTCCGATCTCTGCATACTCAGCGGGCACAAATGATCCTGTTTGTGCCAGAATAGAAATCAGCGCATTTTGCCGGAGATACGTGCTTTTTCCAGCCATATTTGGTCCTGTGATGAGCCATATGCGCTCCTTGTCGTCGAGTTGACAATCGTTAGGTGCAAACTTGCGTCCTTGTTCAACTAGTCCATTCTCCACAACGGAATGACGACCACCTACAATGTTATGCTTAGGCTCAGAGGTTAAAATCGGTCGAACAAGGGACTTTTCCATCGCCAGCAGTGCAAAGGCACATGCCACGTCGAGTTCGTCGAGAACAGCAGCGTTCCGGCGCAGGGTCACAAGACATCGAATGACATCCTGGCGCAGCTCTCCTAGCACGCGCTGTTCCTCACTTCGAATGCGATATCTTGTCTCATCCATCTGCGCTCCTAGTTGAGTCCATTCTGGTATTTGGAATGACCGCGTAGATTTGCTACTGCTCAAGCTCTTTGGGTAGTTGGCCGTAACACGAGACGCATCCTTGCCCTTTACATGCGCAATATGCGCAAGATTCGGCGTCCACTTCAAGACCAGGCTGTCAGTTCCCAGACTTTGTCGAAGATCGCTCTCTAGCTTTTGCTTTGTTTCGTTCATAGACTCTAATGTACTATGCAGGCGTTCTAGGGTAGGACTCGCGTTTCTTTTCATGATGTGCACATCCTCTCTTCCATCAGTCGCACTCTTGAAGCTTCCAACAATCATATGCGGCTTTGGCTGAATTCGTTTCGGCATGTCCTTAAGGTCCTCTTCCCCAGCTTCGCGTCCTAGGACATCTTGGGCTAAATTTGACATTTCGCTTGCTTCTTCATCCTCGATGCGATGATACTCGGATAGTCCTTCCTCATCAATAGCATTTTGAATGCGTTTAGCAAGCTCGAGCGACTGTGTCACATCAATTCTCCGTGCCATAGATTGGATACAGGTTCGCCTTTGGGCCTCGGATGCATTTACTGCAGGATTTTCGGGAATGGCCGCCCTCAACGCTGCATGTTCGCGTAAGATGTTACAGATGTGGGATGTCGTGAGAATGGTCTTCGAAAGTTCCATCAGATCATCTGCATCGCCGCGACCGTATGCGAATTTTGTCACTAAACGAAGAGAATCAAATGTTTGCTCGAGCAGGGTGACGACATCCTGCCGTAGTTGTGGATACTGGATCATTTCTTCGACTAAATCGAGCCTGTCATTGATTGTGGATAATGACATGGAGGGTGCCGCTGCGGCGAATTAGTACAGATTTCCAAAGAGTATCAAGTCACTCACACAAGCGCTCCGTGAGTAGCCTGGTCCCGCTCTTAGTCACTGTCATTTTCAGAGAGTGAAGCAAGCTCCCTTCGTAGGTACCATCTCGAATAGTGTTGCGAATCTCCAGAGCTCGCAAGCTGTTTTTGTCGATGTGCATGTGTTCTCCTGCATGATGTCTTACTGGGGCCCGTAAACGGGTCCTTGAGCCAAGAAGTTGGTGATTGACATAGTGTAAGAGAGAGCCGCCGGCTGCGACTTCACTCGGAGCGAAATCCGTGGTGTCGAAATCTTGGACCAAGTCTTCCAACATAGGTGCCCAGTCTTTCACGGTAGAGGGTGTCTCGGAAGGCTCTTGAAACGTAATCACATGACCGTCTTCCTGGAGTATGGATACAATGCGAGAGTAGTCCCGCTCCTCGAAGATGCTGTCTAATACGATTTCTCTAGGCTTGATACGAGCCACGGCTGAGGGTAAGGAGGCAATATCAGTACTCTGCGTCAAGAAATCGCCGCTGGATAAGTCGATCCACGCAAGCCCAACTTCCGTTCGGGGCAAGTTAAGAACAGAGGATACACTGGGACTCCCAGGACTATTCTTCACGGCCTTGTCCTTCTCGAGAACGTCGGGGTTTACATGGATGCTAAGAAGATAGTTATTCTCCCAAGGGTCCATGAAGTGCTCGTCAATGAGTGTACCAGGCGTGACGATACGAGTCACACGTCTGGTATATTGAGGCTCGCCTCGTGCTTTCGTAGGCGCATCGTTGAGAAACTCATCACTGATGGCGACATGTTTACTTTGGTCCTGGACAAGTATTTTCAGGTAGCGGTCTAGTTGGTAAGCAGGGAAGCCAGCCTAAGATGTTCAGTGATCCATGGTAAGCAGATGGCATCATTACTACACACCATGGAGACTGGTGGCTTCTTGCTGCCCCTGAGAGCCTTCCTCTTGGTCTTCTTGAGATTCAGAAGCGGGGCAAACTCGTCTGCGTGGTCAAAGTATAGCTTTCGTCATCAGCAGAGTAGGTAACTTGATTTGTTGATGTACCTCGTAGAAGCCGCCAACTCGTGTGAGTACAACACAATGGCTGAACTTGACCATGTTGTTGCGCACTTGCTGCAGCAAGGGAGGATACTCTGGCTCCACATCTTCTTGTGGTGGTAGTGCATTACCCGTGAAGGCACCCTGAGGCATGTCATCGAGGGCTACAGTAACCTTTTTCTTCGCGCCTCGTCGCTGATACGCTTGGTAGCATGATGAGCCAAGGTGCTGTGCACGTGGTTTCGCGCTTGGTCGCGTCCATTGTGAAAGAGAGCGTGGCGCTGTTGTATACAGACGACGCGTCAGCCTGCATAGGACGACACTTTGACTGTGTGGACGGCCGTGATGCGTTATGTACTGCGCACATCTGAGGAACATTCTGTTGGACCTTGGACCTGATCAGATACAAGTTTGTGAATTGTAGCGAGAAAGGCACGATAATAGCCTACGGGCATGTAAGGTACGCGTGTCTCAAAGTGGTTTAGCGAGGGCAGGATAGTAGTCGGCTGGCTCGCGGGGTAGTTCGGAATTTGTCCCATTGACGTATTCCGAGCAGGCCAACGCAAGCACAAGCCTAACTTCCCTACTTCTTCGACAGTGCTCTGATTAGTACAGCAGAGATGGCGCCCCATTTCGAGCCTCTGAAAAATGATTTGATCCTGCGTACAGCGAGGGGTACGATGATCACTCATCGTCATACATGCAACGCCCGGCTGACAACGGTTAGGTGAAAAGGTTGAACGGCCGCCCATATGGGTAATGCGACAGGGTAGGCTCTCGAGCTATTATCTATGCTCTCTATCACAATAACGCTCTTTAGCTGGACGCTACCTGCCCGAATACCACGAGGCCAAGGGAAAGAACGACTTTTTTGAATGCTGCCGTAGTCCCGAAATCGCCTCAACGCTCACCCTCCAACCCATCGAGCGATACGAGGGCCTTATCGATGCAGCCATCATCTTCTCCGATATCCTTGTCATCCCACAGGCCATGGGCATGGAGGTCATCATGGTAGACAAAAAGGGCCCACACTTCCCCGACCCCCTTCAGACACCAGAAGACAAGCAGTATAAGGAGGTGCTCGAGAGGAAAGTGGATGTTGCAGAGTCGCTGGATTATGTATACAAGGCTATTACATTAACACGGCAGAAGCTCGCTGGTCGAGTACCGCTCATTGGATTCTGCGGTGCGCCGTGGACCTTGCTATGCTACATGGTAGAGGGCGGAGGAAGCAAACTGTTCATTCAGACCAAGACGTGGGTTTACAAGTATCCCGAGGAGAGTAAGGCATTGCTGCAGAAGATTGCCGAGCTCTGCGTCGAGTATCTTGCCCTGCAGGTACAGGCTGGAGCACAGGTGAGCGAGGACGTTCATGCAGCTACTCAACTCGGACTAACTATGGCAAGATGATCCAAGTCTTTGATTCCTGGGCTGGCGAGCTCTCTCCCACGTCTTTCAAGAGCTTTGCTCTCCCATACCTGAACTACATCGCCGACAATCTCCCCGCACGCCTCAAGTCGAAAGGTCTCGAGCCTGTACCCATGACTGTTTTCGCCAAAGGAGCATGGTATGCGCTGCCTGATCTGTTCGAGTCCAACTACAACACGATTGGTCTGGATTGGCTACATGATCCGGCTGAAGCTTACAAATTGGCTCGAGCAAAGGGTAAGGTCTTGCAAGGCAATGCGGATCCTGGTGTTCTGTACGGCACCCAGGAAGCCATCACGAGAGTGGTGGAGGAGATGGTTGCAGGATTCGATGGCGGCAAGCAAGGCTGGATTGCAAATCTCGGTCATGGTAAGACAAAGCTGAGCCCATTTTGATGTCCAGAGGAAGCTAACAGCTGCGAGGCATCACCCCTTTCGTCAAGCCGGATGATCTCAAGTTCTACTTCCAAGAGATCCATAGATTGACAAGCTCGTAAAAGGATTGATAGCAGCCAAAGAAGCTCTAATGGTCTTGCTCGCCGATATCTTCGTTCCAATCCTGTGGCTTCTCTTTGATGAAATCAGCCATCAGATTCTGACACTCTGGATCCTGCAGCACCACGACTTCGATTCCTTTGCTCTTGAGATGGTCTTCTCCGCCTACAAACGTCTGGTTCTCACCAATGACCACTCTCTTGACCTTGTAGAGGATGCAGGCTCCGGTGCACATGTCGCAGGGACTAAGTGTGGTGTACATGGTTGCATCTTGGTAGGCAGATGCTGGAAGTCGGCCCGCACGTTCCAAGGCTGAAATCTCCGCCTAGAGTAGTATATACATGGTTCGAGTCAGAATGCGTCTCGGTTGTGTGAGCAATGCACGGGAGATGACAAGGTCAATTCATGGGCATCTATGTTGTTGGTACCTACGTGAAGCGTGGCACTGCCCCTCTGTATTCTCATGTTGTGTCCCCTGCCAAGAATCTTGCCTTGGGCAGACACAAGGCAGGCCCCAATAGGCAGCCCGCCCTCACTGCTGCCTGTGCGCGCCTCCTCCAAGGCTGCCTGGAAGCCAATGTCCGCCGAAGACATGATGTAGCGGTAAGCGTTGTTGAAGTAAGAGAAGAGTTTGTTTGCTGTGCATGAAAAAGTAGTCCGTCACTCTTACAAAAGATACAAGCAATTGCGCAGGGACTTTACATGCTCTCTAGTTGTAGAGTCTATCCATCGCTAATCGCCTTCGGCGGCGAGATAAGGGTCTTGCGATCTCCCCTTACCCGATTGGTCCATGGTCGCCGGTCATAGCGTCTTCCTCAAGGTTGTTGTATCCGGCAGTGCATGTGAAGTGAAGTGAAGCGTGCATTGATGATGGATCACAGGTAAAGAAAGCCGCCTTGACTCGGTCAATTATTGTATTGGCATCTGACATGTCTTTTGGGGGGTTTTTTTTTTTTTAGCAATTCGACATGGTGTTTCAGTCTCGAGTGCTTGCACCGGCGGAGTTGTTGATCCGACGCGGCTCAGGCTGTTGGGGGGCACCATGGAAGGGCATCGAAACGTTTGGAACTTTCTCTTTTGCTCGGCGCTGCCGGTGCATTTGCAACATCCTGGTTTACTACTTTTAAACCAACAAGCGTTCGCCTTTTACTACCTTTCAGCACAAGACTACAAAATTAATACTGCTGCTTCAAGCCACCTGTGTAAACTCACCGAGTCTCAAGTGTCCTTTTCTCACCCAAGGAATATTAGGTAAGCGCATTGTGTGAGAATTCCAGCATTTCCAACGCCGTAGGAATCACCCTGAAGGCAGCCTTTTCGATACGGCTGACTTTGTTTGGGTGAAGGCAGCCGCTTTGGTACGGGCCTTGTCCGCTGACAATTCAACTCTTTCAGCCTCTTCAGTCCTCCAGTGACTCTCACTTAAACACTTGACGCACGCCTTGCTTCTTACTCGACCCGCAAACCAGTTTTGCGACCCCGCCCGCCCCTGGCCCCCATCATCAACGCACAAAGCACAGCGCCGCGACCATGGTGAAAGACACAAAGTTCTACGACATCCTCGGGGTATGTACTGCTGCAAACCTGCCTTGGATCGTCTTACTAACAGCCACAGGTGTCGCCGGACGCAACAGAAGCACAACTCAAGTCGGCATACAAAAAGGGAGCGCTGAAATGGCATCCTGATAAGAACGCACACAACCCCGAAGCTTCGGACAAGTTCAAGGACCTCTCCCACGCCTACGAAGTTCTCTCCGACTCTCAGAAGCGACAACTTTACGACCAATATGGTGAAGAGGGTCTCGAGCAGGGTGGCGGCGGTGGCGGCATGGCTGCAGAAGATCTGTTCGCGCAGTTCTTTGGCGGCGGTGGTGGCCCCTTTGGCAGCATGTTTGGCGGTGGCATGGGCGGAGGACGTGAACAGGGTCCTAAAAAGGCGCGCACCATCTCGCACGTCCACAAGGTCTCCCTCGAGGATGTCTACCGCGGCAAGATTTCCAAGCTCGCGCTACAAAAGTCTGTCATCTGCCCCAAGTGCCACGGTATTGGTGGTAAGGAGGGTGCTGTCAAGAAGTGTGCCGGCTGTGACGGTCGCGGCATGAAGCACATGATGAGGCAAATGGGCCCCATGATTCAGCGCTTCCAGACTGTTTGCCCTGACTGTCAAGGAGAGGGCGAGATTATCCGCGACAAAGACCGATGCAAGCAATGCAACGGTAAGAAGACCATTATCGAGCGCAAGGTGCTCCACGTCCATGTGGACCGCGGTGTCAGGAGCGGCCACAAGATAGAATTCCGTGGCGAAGGTGATCAACTACCCGGTGTCGAGCCTGGTGATGTTGTGTTCGAGATCGAGCAGAAGCCTCACCCCCGCTTCCAACGCAAGGACGACGACCTCTTCTACCACGCCGAGATTGATCTACTGACTGCGCTTGCTGGCGGTCAAATCCACATTGAGCACCTCGACGAGCGGTGGTTGACTGTCGACATCATCCCGGGCGAGTGCATCAGTCCCGGTGAAGTCAAGGTCATCCGCGGCCAAGGTATGCCATCCTTCAGGCACCACGACTTTGGCAACCTCTACATCCAATTTGACGTCAAGTTCCCCGAAAGGCTGGAGAGCCCTGATGGCGGCCCGTTGTCGCTTGAGCAGATCCGTGCACTCGAGTCTGTTTTGCCGCCCCGCAAGGTCCCCGATTCTCTGCCTCCGCCAGATGCGATGACGGAAGATTTCACACTTGAGACTGTTGACCCCACTCGGGAGTCACAGCGCTCTCGCGGAATGGCCGAGGAGGATGACGAGGACGACATGCACGCTGGCGGCGAGCGTGTCCAGTGCGCGTCTCAGTAAATGGACGAAGGAGAGGTGCAAGGATGGCATGATTTACGAGCACGAAACGACGCTGCACACGAGAGCATTAGGAGCATATGAGGAGTTGAGCATAATGGTGGAGTCGATGAAGAATGGGTTTTGCATGGGAGAAGGAGATGTCTTGTGAGCGTCTTCGTCACTTTTGAAGCCTCTTCACCTACGAAGCGAGGCGTCTGCGGCGGGTCGGCCTTGGGGAGAGCGTAGGGGGGGGGGAATGCTCTTGTTCTCTTCTATGTGCGCGCGTCCCATTGCTTTTAGACCAGGCAAATGTCGGATTCCCCCCTTGTTCTTTCTTCCGAATGGCATCATCCCTATATCTGCAATTCTCTTTTATTTTTGCCGGTCCCGTAAGGCGTTTACGAGAGAGCTATATAGATGGGAAGGTACGGTAGTGGATCTTATCATCCCAAACGGACAAACTGGTGGGGGTTTGTTTGTTCCTTTTTTTTTTCATTCTACTTATTTTTCCTTTTGCTCGTGACTAGCTTAGCTGTGTGGAGAGAGGGAGAAATGTCATGCATGTTGTTTTGAAACTTGATATTTGGATGGGTTCTTGTGTCATGCTAGGTACATGTGTGTGACTTGAGTTTGATTCAGATCATTGTCTGTTTGAGACGCTGGGCCATGATGTTTTCCTGTGCTGTTGGGTCTAAATACTCTGGTGATTTTGGGCAAAGTACTGTGTACGAACGCAGGGCAGATCCGATGTTCGCTGAATCCATGTGTGGGGGGCGCGGGCCGCTAGGGGGGAATGGGAGATCCCACTACGGCCGTAAACCATTGAACCCCCCCGCGTTGCGGGCTCTCCCAGACTTTGTGTCTAAGCCTCATTTCTCTCTCTCTCTCTCTCTCTCTCTCTCTTTAGAGTGCACATGCGTCTTTTGGACGGGACAACAACACGACTCGTTGGCTCTTGCTGGGATTGGGAAGTACTTGAGAGGGTCGGCGGGGGGAATGTTTGATGACGTCATCGGCGAAGCGAGAATCTGTCGTCCGTGTGCAGTTGGGCTTAACCCCTACTTTTCGTCGGAAGTAGGACTTGAGGACTTCTATCGTCGACAATTCGGAAGAGAGAAGAAACGGCCAAAGACCAGATTCAATCCCTCACACATCCACTCCTCCAACATGGTCAACTCCAGTTTCTACGTCCTAGCAATCATCGGACTGTCCCTCTCTTTCCTCCTCAGCACCTGGGCCCTCTGCCATCTCCTGGGAATCTTCCCCCTGCTGCGCGAGCTTGCCGACAATGCAAAGCGTCGACGCGCGGAAAAGGCTAGGCCCAAGCCTGAGGGATTCGAACTTGAATCTTTCGCCGATGTGCGACGCAGAGCAAGAGAGCGCAAGCGAGCTGAGGAAACGAAGAGGCGGGAGAGGAATAAGACGAGGAGAGAGACGGGGTTTTACGAGGAGTTGGGTAGAGCCTATCGCAGGTCGTGAGGGATGGAAGACTCGACAATATCGCTAGCTGGATCGGGAAGTCGTTGAAAGAGTAATGTGTAGCTGTATTGACATGTTCGTGGTTGGCATCGCCGTTTGCCTTTGTTCCAACGCACGCGCGTTTGTCGCTGCATGCGTGGTACCGGCTTTGCCTCTAATGCAAGACTCCCACCTCAAGTACGCTCCAAAGCCTTGACTTTGCACGCCCGAAAGAAGTACCGCCATCGGTCCGCCATAGACTAAACGCTGAGTCGACCATGTCACTGCTTCACTCTACTGCCGAAACGTGTCATACTACTGGCGATGGGCCCGTCACCTGGATACCTGCCATTGTCGCGGGCATCATCCTCTTGCAAATTGGGCTGGTCTTTGCTTTGCTCTGGATGGGCCACAACCGCAGTAAGACGTATTGGAGGCTGCTTCGCGAGAGTGGCGAGGTCAGTGTGAACGGTCCTGTACTCGTTTGGACACGCGATCTTCCACCCCGACCTACAATTTCCACCCTCAACTTGCACGGCAATATGCACCTATCCAAATACAGACTGTAACTGCACGCCCGGTCGTGCTTGTTGGTTGCTCAATAGCCCCTTCCAGTTTAGAGCCACCAAACAGCCGCCGGCTTGGCAAGGAAATGATATCTACACCGCCAGTACACCTCCCACCTTTCAACCTCCTCCACAACACCCACAAACCCACCAAGCAACCCCAGCCCACCACACTCCCACTTGTCTCAAACCACCACCCAAAATGCCAAGCAACAACAACAACAACTCCAGCAACCCCAGCTACACAACCACAAGCTCCGGCACCAACAACCAAGGCAACCACTACTGCTCCCGCGACTACGGCTCGACCGCCTCAAACCCCAATAGCTTCCACTACTCCAACACGTCAGTTCCACATCCCCACGCCGTGTTTCGGACTCGAGCTTCTGACACAGGACAGTAATGGCTCGTACTATTACTCTAATCCCAATGGGTCGACGTATTATAATGACGGGCAGGGTGGGGCGAGGTATACGGCGCCGGGGGGGAAGTAGACTGCCTGGGGATGCGTTGGGGTTGGAGGAGGAGTGGTGGATGTATGACAATGAGAAGTTGTGTGGGAATTCATTCAAAGGGAGCTGATTGTGACAATCCAATCGGACATCTTTCCCATCTACCCTTAAATTTTTTTCCCTGGGGGTTTTTTTAAAACGTCTTGCACTATGCATCACACTCCCCAGCACACGCCATTGCCCCAACCATCAAGACCAGGACACACTTCCCACATCATCTGACCCGACGCCCCTATACATTCATCCTTGCCTCATTGCCACGCTGTGTCTTTCGTCTTCGTGTTCGGGGCGTTGTTTTTTCCCCGGTGAGATGCTTTGATTCCCACGACATGACGACTTGTTTCCATGTCCCACTGTGATATTCGGCCTAGCCAGCCTGAGACGCCCCTTGTAATAGCGGTGTGTCTAGCGTGTCATCGCATCTTGCCATGCTCTCTCACCAGACCACGGGCCAGAAACTTCGGTCCTGGGCTGGTAAAGCGTGGGATTTTGGACTGGCCGTGTCTGTGTCTGGTATTTTTCTTCTTCTTCTTTTTCTTGGCTTGGGTTTTCCTTGTTTCCTTGTTTCCTGGTTCGTGGGGGTGGAGGGAGTGGAGGGAGTGGAGGGTTTGTGGTCAAGCTTGTATGTCCATGGGGGTGTGGATTTGGTTATTGGTGGTCGTGTTGACGTGATGGATGGATATATATCTCTGGATCCCGTCTTTCCTCCCATCCCACATCCACACACACACACACACACACACGTCTCTTACAACATTTTCGATTTTCTTTCTTCATGAGGGGGAGGAATAAATCTTTAAAAAGAAATACATCCAAAACACAGTGTGCACTTCAACCAAGCACAGCAAGTACCATGGCTCAACCCTATATACCATATACCGCGTAAATCAAACCAAACAACAAGAAAAACGCCACTCTCATGCCTCATGCCCCAAACCCAAACCCACAAACGCCCTGAATCCCTGCCTTCCCTCTCAAAAAAGCTGAGAAACGCCCAACCATGCCATACCCAAGTCCAGAAACCAAAACCCAAACCCCCTCCCCCTCTTCCGCGCAAATCCCTCCCCAACTCACAACTCCTCCCGCCTCGGTATATACACCTTCCAACTGCGCGGCCCGGGCGTCATGCCGAGCCACCAATTATACAGCCTACCCAGCTCAAAGACGAAGATTTTAAAACTGTAAACTGTGTTAGCGGGGAGGGAACCAACAACAAGAACAACAAGAACAGACTGTAGAAGCGGGACTGGGTGTTTAAAAGAAAAGAAAAAGGAAAAAAGACACTCACAATCTCCCCGGAATCTGCACCCACTGATTCAAGACATACAAAAACACCCGCTTGACCAGCAAAAACTCCTCGACAACCTCCTCCCAAACCGTCATATTCTCCGGATTCCAAGTCCGGCCAAACTCCGGCCTCGCCTCCCCGTCTTCTTCCTTCCCGTCCTCGTCCGGCTTCGCAACCCCGGCGGGCGCGTCCGTAGACGCGGACTGGTCGAAATCCTCGAGTGCGAGCTTCGTCTTGAGCACCTCCTTGTCCGGCTCCGGGACCGTCGGCGCGCCGGCAGTCTGCACGCCTTCGCGCTCGTCAATCATGCGGCGAAATTCCTTGATGGCGGCGAGCGAGTGCGAGAGGCGGTCCATGGTGTTGATGAGGGCGACGAGTTCGGTGCGGCGGAGGGGCGGGTCCTTGGAAGAGTCGTGTTCGTCGAATTCAAATAGGACCTTGAGCGCCGTGCCGTAGCCGTTGGTTTGCAGTTTGCCCCACAGCCGGCACTTGTCGCAGCCCACGCAGTCCATGATGCGACTCACATTTCGAAATCGGTTGCGAAAGTCTTCCTTGAGCGAGATGGCGTCGGGGTCCTGGAACATGACCGTCTCATCGAATATCTCGGGACCAGAGGGCAGGGCAGAGGCGAGGCGGAGGACAGACTTCTTTGTGCGCTCGTCTTGCTCGGGATCTTCAGAGCAAAAGGAGTAGTCGGAGATGTGCTGCTTGATCTTGCCGACTGCGCGCATGACAAGCGCGTAGTTGAAGTAGATGTTGGAAATGCGCTCTGGATAGTTGTGAAGTCGCTGTTCGTAGCAAGCCAGGTTCGGCCCCCACTGGCCCGTCGTCTGGTTCAGGTAGTCCCAGCAAAGATGCGTCGAAATGGATGCGTGCATTCCAGAGATGACTCGGTGGAAGACGCGCTTCTCCAGACAGGTATCGTCAAACTCGACAGGATCCAGTCGCTCCACTGGACTACCATGAGCAATGGCTGATTGGACCTTTTGCTGCATGCCCTGTTCCTTGAAGACATTTCGCAATTGGTTCGCCGCATGCATCTGCTGCTGGTTACCAAAAGCACCAAATGACGATCCGCCGGGCGAAGAGCTGCCAGTCTCTGCCGAAACTTTTGGCGGTTTGCTAAAGCAATTCTCGCGGTATATGGCCTCCCAAACCTGCTGAGCACCAACACCAGCATAGCCCGTAAACCGTTCTGGGTTGTCCACCAGCGACACATAGTCTCCCTTGACCGTCGCCGTCTCATCGTCGGGTACGCAGTAATCGCGTTCGTCACATTCGTCATCGTACTCGACCACACAGCTTTCGTCGACATTCTCGCCCAGACTTCCATGCAGTGGCCGCTTCCTCTCCTCCCGCTGCTGCTTTTTGCCCGGATGCTCGGCAGTGGGGCCTTCGAGTTTGCCCAGTTCCTTTGCACGCCACACCAATGGTATATCTTCTTCGTTTTCCAGGGTATTCACAGCGCAGGCCACGTTCCCGCATATGCCGTTTTCATCCTCCCAAAAGGGGCATTTCTTGCTGTACAAGCTCAAGCGGTAATGCGAAAAGAAGTCGGTATTCTGCGTAATCGAGTGTAGGTAGGGATGTATGGCTTCATTCAGCTGCTCGAGGGTACTATAGCTTGCGCAAGCATCCGAGACAATGGCTCCCGGCTCTAGCTGAAAGGTAGTCTTAGTATTGGGGGCTTGTGAAGGGGTAGGTGAACAGGATGCCTTGTTGCTTACATTGCAGACATTTGCTGGAGGACTGTTGGCATGTGAGGGGGCAGCATGGCTTGCAGCATGTGGGCCACCTAGCAGTGAGAACACGGCCAGGTAAAACCCTTGGGCGGCGGTGCGCATGGTGGTGGTCCAGCAACGTTTCTCCTACCACAGTCCTCGTATCAGCAAACCTCCACAGCAAGCATCACCAAAAGCGTTTCGAGGCGGGACCACTCACCGAGGTCTTGCAGTCTCACTATATGAGACCGTCCGGGGAATTACAGGCCGGCTTGCCGTGTGGGGAGAAGGGCAAAGAGGCCAGCGTGTTTGTATCTCTGAACAGGTCCGAGTTCCTAACCGGGCAGCTGTGGCGGTGGTGATGGCCGGTGCAGACGCAATAGGAAAGGCCGGGTGAGGGCTGATTAGGGTTCAATCTCGATGTTTGATGAAAACGAAAGCTTGCCATCAAAGGGACTGGGTGCAATTCAGCGACAGTCGGCGTCGTACATACGTATATAGGTAGAGAGTCGGTATTTATTTAGTGAAATTTAGATGGACGGTAAGGGTGACAGTGTTGACAGGACTAACAATAGGCATCACACGTTGATGGTGCGACGTGGATGTCGAGAAAGCGCAATGTGGCCAGTACCGGTACTAGTTGTCTCGGCTAGTTTGAGGATCACGTTACTTGTCTTGTGTCATCAAAATAGCCAGGATGTAAGCAGTGGCAAATCACATGATACTCAAACTACCTGAGCGCATGAGCACTCTACCAGTAAGTTTGGAGGCTCCGAGTGTGGCGTGCGCTCAAAGGGGCGAGGAATGTCAGACCCTGGATGGAACCTTCTCCGTGCTACTTCTAGCGTAGCGGGCCTGATAGGGCTGAGTACCGTACACAGTTACTAGAGCAGAGCAGAGCAGAGTACTATACTACAACCATGTTACCGTACAACCGTTGTTCAGATGATACCCTACCATCTCCCTCCCCCCTTCCCATCACAACACCCGCAAGTCCCACTTGTACTGTGATTAATCTTCACAATAGAGTGTCCTTGACCTCCGTAGAGTACTACACCCACCACTCCTATACCCAGCCCAACACCAAAAAAAAAATGACTACCCCCCCCAACCCCACCACCACCGCACCCACAATCTCACCCACCTCCCTCCTCCCCCTCCTCCCCACCCCCTCCCTCCTCCTCATCGACGTCCGCCGCACCGACTACGAAGGCGGCGCCATCCACGGCAGCCTAAACCTACCCGCGCAATCCTTCTACGCGAACAGAAGCGTGCTGTACGACTTGTGCAAGCGCGCAGGCGTCAGACGCGTAGTTTTTTACTGTGGTGAGTATTCTGGGGGCTGCTGGTTTGCGTTTGGGTGGCATTGTAATGTACTGTACTCCGTATGTACGGTGACATACAGTAGTGAATATGGGGAAACACGGGGGGGGGGTTTTGTGATGAATCGTATCTGCAATACTCTACATAGCACCTATCCGCCGGTACGATAGCGTGGCGTGGTCATGGCGTGAGAGCCATACGAACGTCCCAGCGATCTACGTCGGTGAAACGGCGTCTCGCCATCCAACACGAGCGAGCAATCTTCAAGCGTCCCCCGCCACCCAGCTAAAACATGCAACAGGATCATCCAACGGCCGAGGACCGCGCTGTGCAGCCTGGTTTGCAGAGTACATCGACGAGCGGCAGGATGGCGAAATGGTGGCGTTGACGCTCGAGGGTGGGATCAAGGGGTGGGTGAAGGCAGGGGAGGCTTATACGCAATGTGTGGATGGGTATGAGGCTGGGCATTGGAAACAGTTTGATTAGATGGGTGGCAGGCTGTGGCTGGTGCGGGATTAGAGTTTTGGGGATTACGATTTTGTGATGGGGTGGGCACGTGGCTTGGTGGGGTGAGTGCTTTTGAGGCAGAGGGCAAAAGGTCGGATGGTTGGGTAGAGGAGGGGTTGGTTGGGGTCAAGTACTGTCACAGGAGTAGTACGAGGTCTGGATATGGGCATCATGTGCTGCCCATCATCCTATCATCTATAGGTTGAGTGATAACCTCGATATCCAACCAAGAATCCGACTGTACTCGATTGATCCAGAAGTACAAAATTCAATCATCATCTTCTTCATCGTCAATCACCCTCCTTTGCCGTATCCTGGGCAAAACGCGTTCCTCTTCCTCGCTGCCACCCTCAGAATCAGAGTCTGCAACAATGACGGCTGCTTTCTTGCTTGTGCCAGCACGCGATTTGACGAGCGACACCTCATCATCGCTGTCACTGCTCACAACCGCATCGTCGTCCGTAACGTCGCTGGTGAAAATCTTCTCGCGCCGTGGTGTACGCTTGGGCTGAGCTGCTTTGACAATAGCTTGCGTGCCCTGACCTACTCCGTGGAGATCGAGACTGGGTAGACTGGATGCGGGAACCTCCACGTCTCCATCTTCGACGATGAAGCTGGCGAGTTCAGAGTCCATCAGATACGCTTGCGTGTCTTCTACCTCATCCTCGCCTAGGGTATCGTCAGAGCCAACAGTGTCAGCCTGAGAGGCAATGTGGAAGCGGGGGTCTGTAGGTGGTGGAGACGACTCTTCACCCTCTTGCGCCAACCCAGTAGCACGCCAGTTTGGTGTCGCTGTGTGGGGTGTTGCGCTGGTCGCCTTCGACTGGCGAATTGGTGTCTCCACTGCTAACGCTTCTTTCCGTGGTCGACCGCGCGCAGCTGGAGTCTTGGGTGTGGCTTTTGCCTTTTTTCTTGATTCATCTGTCTCTTTCGCCATTGTCTTCGGTTTCGGTTTCGGCCCTGGCTTAGCCTTTGTTACTTTGATAGTTGGTAGAGTTTGTGAGGCAGGATCATCATCAGCCCAAGGGTCATCAGCATCGTCCATCTCAGCAGGTGCTGGCTCCGCATCAGACACAAGATAGTCATGACTGATGTCTGATTCGTAGTCGGAGTAGTGTAGATTATTCTTGAAACTCTCCACTCGGTCGCTATCCACATCATGCATACGCTGCATGGTAGCAGCAAAGGCTCTGGTTGCACGCCCTGGTCCGGTGTTGTGATTGGCATAAATCAAGGCCCGCTGGCGCTCGGGATGAAGGCCAAGATTCAGCGCGCCAACCATGGGTGCATCATCATCGTCGAACACAGTCTGGTACCGGCGCTCAAGATCAAGCAGGCCTGCATCATCTAATACAACAGATTCTAGCGATGGTACCTCGATGATCTCCTCGCTTGGATACACTGGTGTCGCTACCTTCTTTCCTCGGCCTTTCGATACTAATTCCTCGCCCATTCGGCCTGCCGTAACGAACCCGGTGATGACGTTGTCCGGCATATGAAACTTTTTGGGAGGCTTCTTGCTTCGACGCCCTTTCTTCGGCTCTGGTAGCCAGTCATATTGAGAGTTCTCCGGTGGTATTTCTACTACTCGCCGATCCACGACCGGCTTCACATCCGGTGGTAAGATTCGGCGCGATTTATCGTCGTGGAAGTTGAAATGCGACCCCTTTGCAATGAGCTCCTGCATCTTCTCGTAACTGTCCTTGGCTTTGTTCGCATCATTCTCTTCCTTGCCATTCATCTGAAGCATGATGATCTTGCCCTCGCGTTTCCGTCCAGTACGGCCCATGCGCTGCAACATGCGAATAGGAGATGCTTTCGAATCGTAACAGATGATCAAGTCAACCTCGCCGATATCCAGACCTTCTTCGCCAATTGATGTTGCTATGAGGGTATTGTAGACGCCCGACTTGAACTTCTCAATGACATCTAACTGATCCTTCTGCGTCATACCCTCGGAATTCTTGCCCGCAGCTTGTCCAACAAACACTCGAGGACGGATCATCGGCTCGTGCCTCTTTAGAATACGAGCAATCTCATCCGTACTATCACGGAAATTGGCAAAGACCATTACTCTCGTTTGAGAACTGGATGCGCCATTGGCATTGTGACCGTCTTCTGCATTCGCAAAGTGTTCCAAGATGGCTTCCTGGAGATATTCCATTTTCGGATGTCCAACAAAGTTATCGTCAGTCATCCACCCCTGCAATCGACTCATGAGCTTTTTCCAAGCATCGCTGTCCAGTATTTGCTTCCTGTACTTGGATTTGGACTTTTGGCTTTCATTTTGAAAGTCCTTCATCTTGACGTGAAAAGGGCCTATGCCGTGATATTTCAACAATTCCATGCCCTGCGAGATGGAGGACAGTATCGCAAATACAGCGTGAACTATAGATTTCACGCCTTGGTTTGCATGCCGACCAGCTTCAAGAGTCCACTTTGACTTGGCTTGCTGACAACCATAGGGTGTCAAGTCGCATGGATCTTTACTCCAGTAGGCGTTGAGGCCTGAAATGGTGTTTACTAGGGGTTGCAAGGCCTGTCTGTAGAGGTCCATACACATTTCCATCTCATCACTATTTTGAAAGACCTTCTTCTCGACGCTGCGTTGGTGCACATAGCTGCAAATGTCCATGGAGTTTTCTGTGCGGATCTCCACTCTTGAAATGTCCAATCCATCAATGACCTTTTGCACGGCTTCCACATTGGCGCCAGGAGTTGCTGTCAGGGCCAAGACGCGGAAACTGTCGTTGAACCGCCTCAGAAAACTGACGATTTCAACGTACGCGTAGCCTCCCGTGGCCCGATGCGCTTCGTCCACTACGAGCAGCACGATTTTCTTGGGGTCGGCGTATCCCGACTTTAGATCATTCTGAAGAGTCTGAGGGGTCATGAAAAACACGCGTTTTTCCTTCCATTCCTCCGCTCTGAGCCCGGTTTGCACGTTACCTGTTAGCATAGTTGTAGCTGAGCGCGGAATACCTGCGATTTTGAAACAAGCTTGCACTTGTTGGGCTACGAGCGGTTTCGTGGGTGCCACAAATACAATCTGCGAGTCGACGGTCCAGCGATACCAATTGAGCATGATGGTCGCGGCGATAAAAGTCTTTCCCAGACCTGTGGGCAGAGCCACCAGCAGGTTGTTAAATAAACCCCTCTGTACGATGTTGAACTGATAGTCTCGAATGGTGCCAAGATTCGTCGGATAGACCCAGGTTCTGGTCGCCACGGGATTCAACTTGTGGTGCGTTGGGGGCTCCTCTTTTTGGTCTTGCACAAAACTGTAACGATTTTTCGCCTGTGAGGGCGGCAAGTCTGCATTGACAGCTGCACGCCCAAAGAGTGTGGTTTGTCGTAGCGATGCTTGAGGAGCCACAACTTGTTTGCGAGCTGAAGGCTGTTTCTGGGGTGATGAGGACGAGGAGGACGCAAAGGCATCAGACGGCAGGTCTTCAAGCTCAAGGGTGAAGTCATCAGGTATTGTAGCTGCGTTTACCAAAGGCAGCTGTGGAGATGGCTCTGTCTGTACAGGTGAGTTTAATGTGCCTGGAGACGGCGGTGCTTGAGGTTGCGGCCGTGATGACAAGGAATTTCGTCCGGGCAGCGACATGGTTTTCATAGCATCGAGTGCTGTCCACCTGGCAGGCTCGTTGGGCTTATGCACCCCAATCGTGGTCTTGGATTTTGCCCAGATTGCGCCTCGAGGTTTCCATGGTGGTGAGTGTTCTTGCGGCGGCTGGGTGTAGAACATGTCGGTCATGTCCAGATGGGTAGTGGGCACATGGATGCGTTCTTTCCGCTTCTGCGCCACCGTCTCTTTCACAGGCGAATGCTGTTGGTTGGGGGAGTCGAGGACATGCTTGCGCCTCGCCGCAGTCCTCTGCTTACGACGGGCATGCTGTGCGTCCCGATGGTTCTCTTGAACATGTGGCGAATCATGAGTACTTTCTGAGCCAGAGCTGGTAAGCGAGCAACGGGTAATGGCATCTGAGTCGTCGTCGTCGTCGTCGTCGTCTGAGGATATGAAGGGACCTCGTCGTCGTCGTTGAGCACTTTGTTGATTGTGGTGGCGTGGAATGGGCTTGGGCCTGTCATCTACTGTCTGGTTGACCTTGCGACGCTTGGCAGGCCTGGGTGATGGCTGGAATGCGGAAGGCGTGTTTTCGCGCTCGGCCTGGGTTGCAGCATACAGAAACTCGGTGTCATCGAATTCGTCACCATAGTCGTCGCTGTCTGCCATGGCAATGGCAGCAGCAGCAGCAGCAGCAGCAGCAGGGGGGGAGGGGGGGAGGGGTTGTGTGCTGTCACCTCTGCTGAGCCATCAAATTGTCTACGGCATGGGTTAGGTAACTCCATGGACAGCGTTGTATTGATGGGTTGAAGTCAAGTCACAACGCGTCGGCTCGTTAGCGCGTTTCGATGATATGGCTAAGCTCGTTTACCGGTACAGGGGGGGGCCCCTCCCCGGCTCTCAGCGTTTGCAAAGGTTTGAAAAGCCTTCCGCAAATAGGCTTTCACCCGACTGAGGCCTGAAATACCGCCGGGAGGCTGTCCAAGCGCCCAAGAGGGCATAGTCTGCTTCAAACTCAATTCAAGTCCCAGTCACGCTCCAGTCCATGCTCCCTTAGGGGGTAAAGCTGAGGCAATACAATAAAACCTGCGTCGGCTGCCCCAGATTCCCTCTTGTTGTAACCCGCACCGACACTCTCCTCACCCTCGCTTTTTGTTTCGGCTCGCATTCTTTGGCATTCTCACTTGCACACGCTCGCTCGCCTCTATACAATATAACATCGTAATAGTCCGCTACCCGACCTAGTCTCCCGCCAACAACAAACAACGACAACAACGACAACAACAACAACAACAACAACAACAGCCTTCCCGCTTCAATCATCTCGTCCACCATCAGCATCATGAAGTACTCTGCTGTTCTCCTCTTCGCCGTCGGCGCTTTCGCCACTCCCCAGGACCCGACCGTCACCAACGCTCCTGCAAGCCCCAGCCCGCCCTCCGGTCTCACTGGCCCCGTTAGCTGCGCCCTTGCATGCGACGCTGGTGATGTCAACTGCCAGGCTGCCTGCTTGGGCAATGCCCGTCCCAACGCCAGCCAGGCCATCGCGACCAACGAGTGTGCGGCCAGATGCGACCAGGGCGATGGCACGCCTGCTGCCACCGATGCTTACGCAAAGTGTGTCAGTGACTGCATCAGCAACCTCTTCCCCAGCAGCCAGACGGGCGTCCTCCCCAATGTCGGCCCTGCTCCCGTGGCACCTACTTCGACTGCGAGCGCCGCTGGTTCGCCTGGCAGCGGCCCTGTCGCCACCGCCTCTGAGAAGCCTACCGGTAAGTCAAGACAGGGCGACTGTTGTGACCACCACGCGACAATGCTAACATGGATCCAGGCGCCTCTGGTTCCTCTCCCTCTCCCTCCGGTGCTGGTGCCTCTGGCTCCGCTGCCACCGCCACCCCTGAGGCCACTGGTGCGGCAGACAAGAACTCTGCTCGCATCGCTGGTGCCGGTCTTGCCGGTCTCCTTGCTCTCTTCGCTTTGTAAATGTTACCCTTCATGTCCATCAGACTCGATTCGTAATGACTACTTTCTGTGGGACAATGGGATAGCTTGGTAAGCTTGATAGGGGGCAAGGCCAATTTTGAAACATGCAGGTCAATTTCACACTGTTGTTGCGGGAGTCTGTACTCTTCGCACAGACTTTGGCGCTAGAAAGACACACAGCCATTGTATTTTGTTTCTTTTTTTTTCTGGAGTGCTTGGAGGAGGGTGTTGAAAGGGGAACGAGGATGGGATGGGATGAGATGGGATGGAGGGCAGTTTCAAGGCGGTATTAATTTTGCACGATTTTTCGCTCGACCCTGTTCCCCCTATGCGTTGTTTATACTGTGCTGTGATGTGATGTGGTACAGATGGTTTCGCACCGACAAAAATGGATTGGATGGAAAGGCGAGAAAAGGCGAGAAAAGGCGACTGGGCTCGGGCGAAATCAGATCAGCACTAGGGCGGCTAGCGACGTCAAGCTAAGGGAGGTAGCGAGGCTGGCGCATATCCTTTCCCCCCTCCCCCCCCTCCCCGCCAGCACCAAGACTGCAGGGGAACCTGGAATGACGCAGACTGCAGACATCCGACCAAAAGTGTCGCCCCACTTGACTCTGCGTACGTTCTCGGTATAGGTGAGGCTTGTGTCCAGCAAACTTTGCAGGCCCGCATGACACTGATGGCTTCGTGTCCTATTGGTGTTGGTCCATTTGCGTCTACCATCTTGTGCAGTGTGTAGGTAGTACTGTAGTAGTAATAGGAAGGGGAGTAGGAGTAGGAGTAGGAGTAGTAGTGGTCGTTTGTCGACGCTCTTTGACTCTGGACAGCAGGAAATCCTCGTCGAGTGCGACATAGGTATTTAGCGACCACAGGGGTGCCAACTAAAGTAAGAAGACTATGGAGTCTGAGCTCAAGAGGGACAGAAGTAGGGTAGGAGTAGTATGCGCATCGTCATCCGCATCTGACTTGATCGTGTTTCTACGCGCCATCTTGATCTAGCCCCCCGTTTCTTCTTTTTGGTGGTTCTTCAACGCTACTAACATCGAGGGTCGGTCGGTCGAGCGAAACAAGTCTTCAACAAGATCCATGGCAATGTGTCTGGCAATAACTGAGCTTCGCTCGGGGCTAGGACGGCAGAACAGCAACGATTCTTCTTGGCGCATTTTTGTTCTGATTGCTGCCCATGTCCCCATACTCCTCATCCATGCCAGGATCCTGTCAGACTCCGCTCGCCACGTCCATGTGATTTCCAAGGTGAGGCGGATATGGATTATCCACTCTTCCGTCGAGACTGCCAACTATTGTGCGAGCAGGTTGCTTGTCAATTCATGTTCTTTATAAGCCCTCAAGTAAAATCCCATGTTGGGACGGTTTCCGTCCGGAAAGGAGACGGAAAGGGTTCAGGCAAGCTAGTTGTATTGGACGCAGGCAAGGTGTCCGTCAGCCCGACCGCGCCATCGTCGCCACAGCAGGATACCACGAAGCGACGACAATGCATGTCTTTCAATTACTCCTCTCTGCCAAAGATCAAATGCATGTGCGCCGATGGTGACAAAGCGAGCGTCCACTTGCAGAGATGAAGTTGGTCGTGCCGGATTCCCCTTGGCGAATCAGAGGCGAGTCAAATCATGGCTCGCGCACGGTTGGTGGTGTGGCGAGGGGCAAGGGCAAAGCACACAGGAAATCAGCAGATGGGGTTTTGTAGCTGCTGGAGGGATGGCAGAGCTCGTTGATCAAGCATTGCCACTCAGAGTCTGCCAAAAATCTACAAAGTAGAGCAAGTTTTTGTCATGTGTGTCCTGTTCCTGCGAGGTCCCTTGTCGTACAGCAGATATAGCCTGCCCATGTACTTGGAGAGACGCCCCCAGAATGGTCGCAGCTGAGAAGAAGGAAATGATTGCGAAAGCACTGAGCTAGCGGCCACGCCAGGTACGCTGGTGCTGATGGGTCAAGTCCACTGCTGCAGCAGAGCGTAGTGTAGCGTAAGGCAGACTTTATGGTAATATGAATGGTAATATGATCGTGCTCAAGCACCATGCTCAGTCATCAAGGCTCGACAGTAATAAATCTCACGAGCAGAGCGGTCGGGCCGTGAGAGACCAGAGACCAGGGCTGCTGTGGCCGGAACTTGTGGAAGCGTGCGAGAGTCAGATGCGAACAGGCCGAGGTGAGAGACACAGGGCTGTGTAGAGAACGAAGGCCATGTCAGATCAGACACACACACACACACACACACTCCATTGTCGCGAAAACCCCAGGTGTCTGTCTCATGCTTGGATAGAGTAGGAGGTGCAATGGATTGCGCGCTGTAGGCATTGCAGGGTGCTCATCTCTGTCAAACGAGGTGTCGTTAAGGCCCCTGCAATAGAGCGCAGGTTCACGTCCTAGATCGGGTTAGTCCCTTTCTAGGATCCATACATCGCCTCCTTCAACCCTCCTCGCTGCCTCGCTGGGTCCACGCAACCCATCCAGAGGGTCATCTCAGGCCTCAAGATACATCAAACATCCAATGCCCATTGCTCTCCTCATGCTCTCCTCCCATGACACTGGCCCTTGCGGACAATGCTCCACCATGTACCAGAGTGTAACGCGGTCGAGCAGTGAGCCTTTGCGATAGTTCCTCGTCTGACCCGGAAAGAGGCAATTGCAAATGGTAGATAGTCTCGTCCTTACACGAGCGCGCTGCCGTCGTGCCCTCATACAGGGGTTGGCTGAGATGGTAGCTCAACACGCGATGTCTGCTGAGATGGGAACGTGCAACTCGAAGCCCAAGAAAGCGAGCCGCAAAGAAACATGATAACAGTGAACGAAGCCCTCAAACCCCCCCTCCATCTGATACCGACCAGACGGCTGCGCGGCATGGGCAAGCACGGTTGACGTTGCGAGGATGTTGCCGACTGGAGCTCCGATGAGAGAGATGCGATATGCGTACGGTAGCCTTGGGCGTAGCTTGGCGCCCGTTAGACCATACCTACCAATGCGAGTCTATCCCGCCCTCTCAACCTTCGAATTCCTTCTACCACTGCTCCCTTCTTCATCAATCTCTCCACTTCCCACGCCCTCTCACGGCGGACTACCAAGACACTACCGTCTGCGCCATCAAGAACACCACACAAGCCGCACAGTAAGCCTAACAGCACTCACTCTCGCCTGACTATTTCATCGTTTTGCATTTATGCGCCATTCGGCTCCTCGATGCTGCCTTGATATTCGCACTTGACGGACCTGCTGTCTACGACGGCCCTGGCGACGGCCCACGCTCGCCTTGAGAGGCTTTCCCGTCGTCCTTTGGGCCGTTTTCTCTCCTGACGGACTTGTCCCCTGCCCCCATTTTTGTTGTTCGCCATGGCCGATGCAAAGAAGAGCGAAGGCGAGGTCATGTCCTCTGCAGTTGGCCTTCCATCCACCACAGAACCATCACGTGTCGAAACAGACGCGCAAAGCGATGCATCCAAAGAAGTAAGCACTGCACAGGACATGGCGCCTTCAAAAGCCACCAGCAAGGCCTCCTCGACCAGGAATTCGACTCCCGCTGCTGCATCTGTGGACACTCACCAATCTGCGCAAGTCTCCAATGACGCGTCTTCTACCATGGAAGGTGAACAGCAATCGCGAGAGGGAGGCCAGGAGGCCTCCATTCTCGCGCAGCCCTCTCCCAAGGAAGCAGACCGAACTGGCGAAATGGCATCTTCTTACGGTACACGGTCGCGAAATCGTCCCGGCAGATCGCGGCCTAATTATGCTGAGGACACGGAGATGGACTTCGAAATGGGGGCTGCATCCGCAAATGGTAACTTGTCTGACCCACCGTCGCGTAACTCAGTGGCCCCAGACAACGTTCATTCTTCAGGTGTTAGTGGAAAGAAAGGTCCCAGTCCTGTGCAGGGGAACACGTCGTGGGGTAATTCCGGACCCAAACCAAAAGACACCCCAACCAACAACCCCAATATCCCTGGCACATCAGCATCTCCAGCGACCACTCCCGCCACCACCACCACCACCACCACCGCCGTCCCACCTGTGACCAAGCGTAGGAAAAATGCCGCGGCCACTACTACCAACGGCAATCAGGCGAGTGCGTCTGCGCCAAGCCAGCCAGGAGCGAAACGCGGCAACCATGCCATGGCTGTGGCTACTACGACCGCGCGCGAGAGCAACATGATGACTTTCGAAAACACCGGCGCATTTCTCAAGGACGGCCACTTGGAAGCGGACGATGGCCAGACTGTGAACATTAATGGTACGCTTCTCTTTTTTTTCGATCTTTTTTGATTTGCGTCTTGCAGCTAAAATGGGCGTTTCCGTTGCGCCAGCCACGTCGTGCGGCTTGTACCAGCGTTTTCTAATTGGCTATTCCAGATCAAGTGTACCTCGTGTGCGAGCCGCCCGGCGAGCCTTACTACCTTTGCCGGGTCATGGAGTTTATCCACGTCGACAATGATCCCAAGAAGCGCATAGAGTCTATGCGAGTGAATTGGTTTTACCGACCACGCGATGTCCAGCGCTACAACAATGACACCCGTCTAGTGTACGCTACGATGCATTCAGATCTGTGTCCCATCACCTCGCTGCGTGGCAAATGCCAGATTCTCCATCGAAGCGAAATCGGCGATCTGGACGAGTATCGCAAGACCAAGGACAGCTTCTGGTTCAACCAAGTATTTGATCGCTTCATTCACCGATGGTACGATGTCATTCCGACATCGCAAGTCATCAATGTACCCGACAAGGTGAAGAAGGCATTGGACGAACGTTGGAAATACATCTGTCTTGAAACAAGCCGAGTGAAAGAGTTGACGAGCGCAGTCAAGAGTTGCAAGCGTTGTGTTGGATATTGTGCCTCGTAAGGACTGCCTAACCTTTGGAACGCTCTCCACTCACGTGACATGACTAACTTTCTTGACAGTAATGATTCGGTCGAATGTGCCGTGTGCCACAACACGTACCACATGAACTGCGTACGACCACCGCTACAGAAGAAGCCATCCCGCGGGTTTGCTTGGGCATGTGGCCCATGCAGCAGAGCTCAAGAGAAGAGGCTCGAGGCTCGATTGGGCACCACCAACGAGGAGGCGGATGAAGAAGAAATCGTTGACGAAGAAGAGGAAGAGGGGAGTGGCGATACGAACGAGACTACTCCTGATCCAGAAAGTCAGGTCGACTCACATCCGGGCACCCAAGCTGAGATAGCTTTAGCCAAAATGTGGCCGATGCGATACCTTGGAATCCATTGCCGCGTGGAAGATGCTTTACAGTACGACGATCGAGCCATTTACCCCCGCGCAAGCTCACGGCTGGGTCCTCGACATCAAGCTAATGTGAATGTCTGGCACGGACACCCCGTGGAACTGGTGAAGCCGGCCGAGATAAAAAAACGCTATGTCAAAGCCGCAGGAAACAAGAAAGAAGGCAAACTCTCCAAAGAGACGGTCGCAGCAATCGAGGCCGACAAGGCGGAAAAGGCTAAGCGCCCTAAGTGGGTGATGGATGAGCCGCCGGGCTATGTTCGCCGTGGAGAAGACTTGCCTAACAAGGATTCCAAATGCACCGCGGAGCTCATGTTCAAGATGCCACCTTTGGGCGTGCACTCCACACGTGGCGAAGACAACGCGCCAACCGTCACAGAAGACCAAGTCAAGGCCTACATGGACCGTGCCAAGGCTCTGGCCAAGCAATATGTTGGTGTCGAGCCATGGAACACAAACTTTTTGGACAAGTGCTTAGCGCTCTTCACCAAGCACCAATACGATGCTGACGTTGCCCTGAAACATGTGAAGAAGCTTGATAAGCGAAAAGATCTGAAAGAACCCGAGTTGACGAAGGAGGAAGAAAAGAGATGGAACGAGGGTGTCGCAAAGTACGGTTCAGAAATTAGGAGTGTTCGCCTCCATACTAGCAAAACGATGTTTTATGGGGATGCCGTGCGATACTACTACCAGTGGAAGAAGACACCCAAGGGACGCGAAATTTGGGGCTCGTATAGCAACCGCAAGGGGCGGAGCAAGAAAGTCGAGCCAGATGCACAAGCACGTTTGCTTGACGATGTCGCAGACGCTCAAGATGATTCGGCGTTTGACAACGAGAAAGCAATGCAACGAAAACGACACTTCCAATGCAAGTTTTGCAACACTCGGCATTCACGGCAATGGCGACGTGCCCCTGGCGCAGCTCCTGGCCAAATGGTACCTGCTGATGGACGGTCCAAGGACAAGACCGGATATGTTGTGGCTCTCTGTCTTAGATGTGCGGGTCTCTGGCGCAAGTATGCTGTGAAGTGGGAAAACGTTGACGAGATTGTCAAGAAGGTTTCACAGGGTGGTGGAAAAGCTTGGAAGAGAAGGATAGATGAGGAGCTTTTGCGCGAAGTCTATGCCGCGCAATCTGATCCCGGATCTATCAATGGTACGCCCGAATACGCGGATCCTCCAAACGCCGCGCCTCAGCCTGTTGCAGAACCCCCAAAGAAGAAGCAAAAGACGACTGCGACTGTAAACGGAGATGGCGGCGCATCTACGCCGACTACTGAGCATGTTACGAAGAAGAAGGAGAAGGAGAAGGAGAAGGAGAAGCCTCTGCCGCCACCGAAAGCTCCCACACCTCCACCAGTGCCCGCGCCGCCAAGACCAAGAGCCTTACCATGTGCTGTGTGCCGATCGACAGAAGGTACCCGCCTGGAGTGTGCGGCCTGCAGGTTGACTGTCCATAAAGCATGCTATGGCATTGAGGAAAATCGACAAGCGCCTAAGTGGTATTGTGATACTTGTAAAAATGACAAGAAGGAAAGTGTGTCATATGTAAGTGTTCAATACGCAATACTCTACAGTGCAATCGACTAACGATGAACAGACATATGAATGTGTCTTGTGTCCAAAGCGTGACACTGAACAGGACTTTTTTGAGCAGCCCAAGGTCACACACAAGAAGAAAACCGAACGCGACCGGGAAAAGGAGCGAATGGAAAAAGAGCTTGTCGATCGAGCCAAGGAACAATACCGGCTCAAACAAGAAGAAAAAGGTCGGCCGATCATGCCTCGCGAGCCACTCAAGCGCACCGCAGACAACAATTGGGTGCATGTCTATTGTGCGATATGGCACCCAGAGATCCGCTTCAGTAAGGCTGCCCGTCTCGATACGGTGGAGGGTATCGGAGCGCCAAGCCTTCGGTATGATGCGGTTTGCAAGTTGTGCAAGACAACCAAAGGCGCATGCACGTCCTGCCTACAGTGTCATGCCACATTTCACGTTGGCTGTGCCCATAGTAGTGGCTACGTCTTCGGGTTTGATATGACCCCAGTGAAAGCTTCGCGAAGAGATGCTGTTCCTACAGTTACTATGAACGGAGACAATGGAACGTTGATTGCTGCCATCTGGTGCAAAGACCATGCCCCGAAAACCATTGTTCATCCAATGAACGAGGCGATTGAAGGGACAGATCTGATTGCATTACAATTGTTTGCACGCGAGTTCAAACAGGCAGATCTCACACTCACAGGTACCGCACGAAAAGCGACATTAGTCGATCAATCGACGCGAGTAGGGTCTCAGGCTGGCCCGCCACAGGCAAATCGGCGAGCATCCGCTGTCACTGCTCCTACACCGACCTCCACCCGGGGCCGACAATCTAATGTCGGATTGCATGTCAAGGAAGAATCGAGTGAGCCACCGGCTCCTAGAGAGGAACGGCAATGCGTTCAGTGCAAGGTGGATGCGAGCGCCAAGTGGTACCCGGAAACTGCAGGATCGACACATCAGCCTGTTCGTATCGTGGATGGTCCATTGGGTTCTAATGGAGCCGAGACAAACGGCCACGGCGAAGAGAAGCCAACAATCGAGAATGGACAGATCCTCAACGGCGCAGCAGACCACCCAATGACCGATGCGCCACCTATTACTTCGCCTACGCCACAAGGGCAACTTCGAGTGAATACGGATGTGGCCACCTCCCGACCTACGTCCTATCTGTGCTTGAAGTGCTACTGGAAACGAGAAAGGGGGATAAAGGACGAAGAGGAACGGCCCAGATCAGTGTCCATTCTTCCCGAGCCGCAACTTCTCCCTCTTCGGTCTCCGATAGTACCAGCCTATGTAGCGCCCACACCGCCAGGCGCAATGACGGGATCCTGGACGATTCCAGGTGGACATCCATCTCTGCCCCTCAATCAGCCTCCTCCATTACCATCGTGGCACAGTTCTGCCCCTCCTGGCCCCCCTGGACATCTTCCCCCGCATCACATGCATAATGGCAACGGATACCCCCCACCGCAGGCATTACAAGGTCCACCTGTGGGCCATGCGGCACCCTTCCACACGCCTTACTCTCAGCCAAACGGGTACGCGCCTTACCCAGGCCCTCCGATGCATGCACAATTGCCTCCAGCGCCTCTCCGTGCTAGTTACCCGGGGCCAGCCGTCAGTGGCCCTCCTCCGCCTTTGCACTTGAGTAACGGAGCGATTATGGTCAATGGTATGCAATCGCCGCGTTCGATACCCTATTCGCCAACTCACCCACATGCACACCATGTTGGGCGATCTACGGAAAGCCCGTTTACTGCTCCGTTGCCAGCGGTGGCGCAGTTCCCGCCGCCGCTTCACCACGGAAATCCAGCACCAGGCCGACCGTCTACGCCTCGCGATGCAGTGATGCGCGATGCGCCCACGTCGGCGCCAGTCGAGCGAGCGACGACGGGTGCGAGCGCCAGTCCATCGCTGCGAAACTTGCTGCACTGATTTATCTTTTTCTTTTTTTGATCTTCTGTTTTATTTTTGCTTTTGTCTATGTACAGGTTTACTATTTCCGATGATTATATCTCCAGCATAGAGGGAAGGAGTTGTCGAAGCCTTTGGGCGCTTTCAGCATTGAGCGGAAGAGGAGGCGACATGGATCATGGGGTGGGTGGGGATTGAGGGGATTACTCGAGGATTGGGTAATCATGGGCCTCGTGTTGTCATTGGGTCATGGGGAAGAGGAGTCTGGTGGCATTCATATATACCAGGACACGTTTATTTCTCTCTTTCTTTGTCCTACTGTTTTTCTCGATCGGGTTCCTCTCTTGGCCGAGAGTAGGGTAGAAAGAGTCGGGTGGTTACTAAGCACGGTACGGTAGCAAAAGTGAGATGTGTTCAATTGCATAGGACCACCACACCATGGGTAGTATAGTGTAGGATGACATGGACAGCAAGGGGTATGAGACGCGGCCCTGATTGGTGGTTGAAGACAAAAATCATACGTCTTGAGTCTTTTATAGCTGCAGCGAGCATTATTGAATGGCTGATGCTCTGCAGCACTCGTAAGACTGCAGTGCCACAGGATGGTTCCATAGTACGTGTTGTATTGTAATGCATTCCAGGTGGCTCCCGAAGACCAGAAAGCGTGATGGTGGCGTGGAAGCACGAGGAATGCTGCAGCGCAGGAAGTCGGAAGGCGTAGAGTCTATTCCTCTCTATTCCACTCTCTACGACTCTTGTTACTACTATACTCTTAGGGAACACATGCCTATATGCCATGCCATGCCATTGATGATTGATCCATGATCCGAACAGGGGCCAGACCTCGCGAGTCCAGAGTCGGTCTAGTCGCTTGGCTTTGCTTACCTAGTCGGGTACGCACGGAGGCTGAGGCCGCGTCGTCCGCCGTAAGGGCCCCTCCCCGACCTCTCCCCCCAACCACAAATCCTCGACACACTCACCAGCCACAAGTGACTCGTCTCCTTTTCCTTTTCCCCTCGTCCATTTTCCTTGCGCTCCGTTCCTAACCATTCGTTATTTGTTTCACCTTTGCATCTCTCTACCTTGCCCTGCCTTGCCTTGCCTCGCTCAACATTTGCTATCATCGCCCGCCCTTTCTTATCGCTTTGCATTACTCTTTTGAACGTTGCGCATTTGCCCCAGACCCCAATCGCCGGACTTGGCGTGTAGGCAGTACATACATACTATGCCAGAGCCATCTTGAAACGAGGCACAGTAAATTCACGCCGCACACTCGAAACCATCCACGTTCCAATCTGCCTCGAGACGCACCTGTGACGACTCGGATTTCGAGAGTGTAAGCTGCAACGCAGAGAACAGGACATAGGGCTGCGGTGTGTGGCACAGTCGTTCCGTTCGGTGTAGCCATCGACGACTCGTTTGCGCTCGGGACCACGATCTACATACTCGTCCTTGCTTCCCTGGCTTGCACAGTTGAGATAGTTACATACGACCCGTCTTGGATACTTGCACTACTACACATTGCCCTCGAGACCTGACGGCACTATACCAAAGTGCTTTTACCTTTTATTTTATTCTTGTCGTCAGACGACGACTATACAACCTAACTACCTATACACCCATACAGATACGACGCAGCCATGCTGTTCGCAAAGAGATATGATTGTGTAATAGACGCAGAAGGCTTCAGACAGTGCTATGGAGAGGACAGCTTCTGGTACAGTGACGTAAGTCTTCCACTCCACCTCTCTCTCTTTCTCTCTTTCTCTCTCCAATCCCAAAAGAATGCAACACACAATCAAGACTAATCCCGAGTACAGACAGGCATAATAATCAAATGGGTCATCCTAATATTCTTCTTCCTCCTCTTCTTCGGCTGGTTCATCGGTGGCTACATACACGCCAAACATCGGCTACGAAAGGGTCTCCCTTTACTTTCCTACCATCGTGTACGTTGTTCCCCCATGTGTAAATATCCATCCATTCACTAACCCCAAGCCAAAAAGTTCCTGGTATCCTACTCCACCCGCCGTCGCTACGGCCAAGCCGGTCCCCCCCAAAATCACTTCACTTTTTATCAAACGCCCACGCCCGCCAATCCAGCATACGCCCAGCGTCAAGACCCCGCTTGGACTGAACCCCCGCCTCTCTACCAAAACACAGACTCCCCGCCCCAATACTACCCGCCCCCGGGCGCCACCAAGATGCATCCGCAACAGGGCGGGGCAGCCGGTGTCGAGCTGCCACAGTATGGGACTACTGCTGCTGCTCGTCCTGCCATCAGTGGGTTTCCTGGACCGGGCATGTTGCAGGGTGGTCAGACGAATGGGTTTGTGGGTTCGGGGTCGGGCGCGGGACCACATGGGGATGTGGAGCAAGGGGGTTTGAGTGCGCAGCCGGTGTTGCCGGCGAGACCGGAGACTGCGAAGACGAAGTTGATGGGTGTTGTGGGGAGGTTTAGACGGTAGGGGGAGCGGGGTTGAGAGAGAGGGGGGGGGGGGGGGGGGAGGGGGGAGGGGAGGAGGAGGGAGGGGGGGACGGGATCATATACTTCAAAAGGCAGGGGGGGAAGGGGCAGGTGGGCAGGTATATACTAGGTGGAGGTAACTATTTTTTATGGTGGTTATGGTTATGGTGGTATACATTCATATACTGGAGGCAGGGGGATGGCATAGGGGTAGCCTGGTTTCACGGGGTGGGCGAATGGGGAGGGAAAGGCATAGGGTAGGGACATGGTTCGGCGTGAACTTC